AAGGTTCTTATGATCTTGTGTTCTCAAAATGCCAAGATATTTAAATTGTTTTAATCTAATTTTAAAAGGTACGGTGTCTAAAATTTTATTTTCTATAGAAATCACAGGCTTCAGCTCGCTCTTTTGAAGATTAACCTAATAGCCAAATAGTTTACCAAATTTTTGAAGCAAAGCAAGTAACTCAGGAACAGGAATGCAAGTAAGAGGATCTAAAAGCATGTCATCGGCATATAAAGAAACTTTGTGCTGTGTCCAATCCATTTATCCCTTTAATGATGGTGGTTTGCCGTAAAGCAACATCTAGTGTTTCTATCGCTTACACAAATAGAAGGGGTGAGAGTGGGCACCTCTGTCTTGTACCGCGTTCCAATTCAAAGTAACTGTGTTACAGTTAGTGCAGACTGCCGCTCTTGGGGAGGTACAGTATATATAAACCTCACCCATGATATGAATTTGGGACCAGATTTAAATAGATTTAAAGTCTTAAACAGATAATTACCCTCCACCCGGTCAAACGCCTTCTCGTCCAAAGTGGGAGAATTTATGTCAAGGTTTATGGATGTTTTTTAACTACTATGGTTGAGAATGTTAACTACCCACAAACTGCCCATGAACCATATGTTTGAGTTAGCAGAGAGAGCTGGATGAGGAGTTGATTGAGTATGTGCACCTGATAACTCCAAGGACGGTCTATATGAGCTGCGGAGCTGAGGCCATCATGACCTTGTTTTTCCTCCAACCTCTCAGTTTGGACTCTACAGCACTCTGTTCAACCCGCAGGCCAGTTCAGGTACTGCACCTACAGGAACCAGACGCATGGGGGATACCACAGTACTTTTGGGAGAGAAAATACCAGGTCCAGGTCTAGATACTAGGTCTCTCTTGTAAATGAGTCCCCGAGGCTCAATGGGATTAACCTGTCTAAATAAATGTTGAATGAATAATCTGACCTGCTGTACTGAACTGTCTTTCAATACTTTCAATAAGGTCATATGTGGTGCCTATCTTCTGGCTGACTCTGCGGTGGAAACCATTTTGGGTGTGTTGGTGGTGCTGTGGGTGCTCCCAGATCATTGACCTATATACAAGAATATACATCACTGGTTCAGCTCTTCTTGAAGGTGGGTCTAACGTTACCTGCCGTCTTTGCAGTGATTCAATGGACCAACTCCCCTCTCGCCATCGGTTACTTTCAAACAAACTAATTTAAAAAGAAACACAATGTGAATCTAACGTGTAACACAACACATTATAGAAATGTACAAACCGGATTCCATAAAAGTTGGGACACTAAACAAATTGTGAATAAAAACTGAATGCAATGATTTGGAGGTGCCAACATCTAATATTTTATTCAGAATAGAACACAAATCACAGATCAAAAGTTTAAACTGAGAGAATGTATCATTTTAAGGGAAAAATCTGTTGTTTCCAAATTTCATGGCGTCAACAAATCCCAAAAAAGTTGGGAGAAGTCCATTTTTACCACTGTGTGGCATCCCCCCTTCTTCTTACAACACTCAACAGACGTCTGGGGACAGAGGAGACCAGTTTCTCAAGTTTAGAAATAGGAACGCTCTCCCATTCATGTCTAATACAGGCCTCTAACTGTTCAATCGTCTTGGGCCTTCTTTGTTGCACCTTCCTCTTTATGATGCACCAAATGTTATCTATAGGTGAAAGATCTGGACTGCAGGCTGGCCATTTCAGTACCCGGATCCTTCTCCTATGTAGCCATGATGTTGTGATTGCTGCAGAATGTGATCTGGCATTATCGTGTTGAAAAATGCAGGGTCTTCCCTGAAAGAGATGATGTCTAGATGGGAGCATATGTTGTTCTAGAACCTGAACATAGTTCTCTGCATTAATGGTGCCTTTCCAGACATGCAAGCTGCCCATGCCACAAGCACTCATGCAACCCCATACCATCAGTGATGCAGGCTTCTGAACGGAGCGTCGATATCAACTTGGGCTATCCTTGTCCTCTCTGGTCCGGATGACATGGCGTCCCAGTGTTCCATAAAGAACTTCAAATCGTGTCTCATCTGACCACAGAACAGTCTTCCATTTTGCCACACTCCATTTTAAATGACCCCTGGCCCAGTGCAAACGTCTGAGCTTGCGGAGCTTGCTTAGAAATGGCTTCCTCTTTGCACTGTAGAGTTTCAGCTGGCAACGGCAGATGGCACGGTGGATTGTGTTCACTGACAATGCTTTCTGGAAGTATTCCTGAGCCCATTCTGTTATTTCCTTGACAGTGGCATTCCTGTTTGAGGTGCAGTGACGTTTAAGGGCCCGGAGATCACGAACATCCAGTAGAGTTTTACGGCCTTGACCCTTACTCACAGCGATTGTTCCAGATTCTCTGAATCTTTTGATGATGTTATGCACGGTTGATGATGATAACTTAAAAGTCTTTGCTATTTTACGCTGGGTAACACCATTCTGGTATTGCTGCACTATCTTTCTGCGCAACAATGGTGGAATTGGTGATCCTCTTACCATCTTGGCTTCTGAGAGACACTGACACTCTGAGAAGCACTTTTTATACCCAATCATGTTGTCGATTGACCTAATTAGTGTTAATTGATCTTCCAGCTGTTCGTATATGCTCAATTTCCTTTTGCCAGCCACTTATTGCTACTTGTCCCAACTTTTTGGGGATTTGTTGACACTGTGAAATTTTGAATCAACATATTTTTCCTTTAAAATGTTACATTTACTCAGATTACACTTTTGATCTTTCATCTATGTTATATTACGAATAAAATATTGACATTTGCCATCTCTACATCATTGCATTCAGTTTTATTCACAATTTGTTTAGTGTCCCAACTTTTTGGGAATCCGGTTTGTAGTCTAGTAGAAAGTACAGATACTTAATGTAAAATGTAGTGGAATAAAGTACCTATGTTTAACTCTATCTACTTAAGTCAAATACAGATACGTGAAAAATGTACTTAAGTACAGTAACAAAGTACTTGTTCTTTGTTACATCCAACCACTGGCTGAAAGTAACAGAAAAATGTTTACATTTGGACAAGAAAGCTGAAGCAGAACAAAATGTGAAAGGAGCAGTAAAACGTTGTAAACAGATGTAAAGATCTGAAGGATGTAAAATGAACTCAGTTCATTTTCTAAATGAAAAAGTGTCAGAAAAAGCTAAGTAATTCAAAAAGCTAGTTTCACCAAGACCGAAAGTCATAGCACCCTTCATCTGAATGAGCTGAACATTTTGATACATGATTTGTTGAAATAGCACAAAAATTGTGGAACAAGAAAGATGCCGGAAAATGTATGGAAGAAAAATGAATCCCAAGAGTGAATGCTTCACGAGCGTTCACACAACTATTTTCAAGTGACTTGATTAAGCAATGAGGTACGGGGATTCTGCTTTCTTTTCCCGCTAACTCCTCTTGCAGCTCCTGAGTAGCAAGGCGAAGCTAACCCCCCTCTCCTGATGAGGTTCTTCAGTACTCAAGGCTGCTTGGTCCAACCAGACTCTGCTGGAACATGGTCCTTCACCAGTACTTTGTCTGGCCTTGGGGTGATTTAGTCTGAACTCAAGAATTACCAACCTTGTTTCTCTTTGTAGCTTCAAGCGAGACCTTCAGCATGCTCTGATGTTCACAGCTGAGAGGGGTCAGCTCCTCTGAGTCTGAAGTCCTGGTTCTGAAGTGGAGAAAGACTGAACGCTCCCTCTGGGTCTGAGGTGACCTCTGAGAAGTTCAGGCCTCTGGCAGGGCTGGGTTTTCTCCAGTAGTTCTGCCCTAATCCCATCTGTTTGTATGCAATTTTGAAATTGCATTTTTGTTGTCCGTGTCTTGTGTCTTTTACGTTAGCAAAATATCTCACAAACCACTGGACAGATATTAACAAAACTCTCAGAAATTAATCAAAGAATGATCATCTGCAACCAATTCATTTTTGTAGTCAGTCCCATTCAAGTTGCTACAGCAGCCAATCAATACAAGCCAGCAGCTAAACATGGCTGCGTCTGGTGTGGTCGTAGCTGAATCAACCTCAGCACATTTTCTGAGTGAATTTTCTTTATGAATATCTCACACTTTCACATGAAAACCTACATAAACTCAGCTCAAACTCTGTCCCTACTCAGCATAATTTGGATTCAGTCTAAAACTATGAACTTCAAGGATGCTAGGCCTTACATTTAAAGTGTTATTGAGTTGTGTCTTGTAAAACTGCACAAATAATGACAAAACAGTATTAAGTGCACCTCATCATTATTATTATATGCACGTTTCTTTCGGCTGCTTTCTTCTGTAGGGGTTGCCACTGCGAGTGAAATTGCATAAAAGATTTAGCAACCGTTTTCACCTGGATGCCCTTTCTGAAGCAAGCTGGGCTCAAACCAGCAACTGCAGGATTACAAGACCATGGCACTGACCACCAGCTACTGCAGTCCCAGATCACAACTATGTCATTGCTGAAAAAATGCTATATTCCTACTGTGCACGACTAAAAAGCCACACCGGTCTTTAGTCAGACTAGTGTTGCAAACTCCTCGCTAACTTCACATAATTGGCCACGTTTATGTATTTGGACACACGTTATAGTAGAGAGGAATAATGTCGTGGAAATCATCGTCTGGTTTGGTTTTGAACATTACGGTCTCAAGGAGTCTACGACAGGTCATAGTAAAACATGAATGGCAGTACTGAGGGTCAACGTGTGATCATAAGGCTGTAGTATGAATGTAGTTTGTATTGTGAACAATAACAGAGATCTAAATGCAGATGACCTCCATTGGACTGTTTTTAGATCTTAATAACTCATAAAGTACAAAAAGTTATAATAAAAGTCGTCTGCACAGATCCTTGTGCGTTAGACCCATCAAATATCATCAGGACATAAAAGGCTGGAGGAAGACAATCAGGTTTCCACTAGAATTTCATTAAAATATGCAAATTTATGATATTTCTTATGAAAATACCTTCATGGAATAATACATGATTCAATACAAGAACTATATATGTGGCATATTGGTTTCCAAATGAGTGAAAAAGGCACAAAAGGAGAAAATGAAGAAAGCAGGAGAACATGAGCGCGGTCGCTGCCGTTAGCACTCACACCGAACAATTATAAGTCAACCTGACCTACTGTCGAGCATCTGAGGAAAACAATGAAAAAAGTAAAGTTGTGTAGCACTGAGGCAACAAGGCAGCTTACAGTCACATTTCTATATTCATATGAAAGCAAACAATCCTAGAAACAGGAGCATTACTGTCAGCGTACATGATTAAACTGGTTCATCTGATGCTCAGACAGGACGACAGAATAAAGTCAGAAACATTTTTAAACATTTTGTTCCAGTCACAGTCTCATCGTTGTAGCGTTTGGAAGTGTTTAAGCAGCTCCAGCTCAGAATATTCACCACCCTCGGGCACTGGGTTACATGTCTCTAACTTGTGACAGGGATTTGTTGGTGTTGCTGAAGATTTTAGGCCTTTTGATCAGCTCTGTAGCTCAACACAGGAGGGTTAAGGCAGAGAAGTTGGGCGATAATGAGTGTTGGAGCTCCAACTGCTGGTGTCTGCTGAGGATGAGGGATATAAGGGAAATAATTACGGGCTTAGATTATGTGGCATGTAATTTGGAGATGGGAGTCTGTTCATAAAGGAGCTGCTGTAATTTTTTTTTATCAGAGCAGAAGTGGGTCCCTGCTGACGTCGGTCGGCGCAAACGGAAGACCTCCGGGTCCTTTTCTTCTACTCTGGCTGAGGAGCCGGGGTCTCGTTGGCATTGTTGTCAGTGATCTTGTTTTCCAGCTCATCGTCTGACAGGAGCTCCAGAGAGGTGCCCTCCACCTGCAGCGGGCGTCGGCCTGAGCGACTGGAGGAGAAGCTGACGGGGCCGCCGCGCCTGCAGGAGACGGAGGAGCAACGGTAAGGCAAGGGTTCTGACACCACAGGCGGGAGCACACAACAAACAAACAAGCAGTACACTGATGTCCCCCGCCGTTGGGGGATTTGGAGAGTGAATGTTTGAAGTTCTAGAGATGAGTGTTTTTTTGGACTGGAACTGAACAAAGAATGCAAGTAAAGCTAAATGTTTTTGGAGCGAGATATTCAAGTGGGTGGCGTTACACTGTGGAGAAGAACAGAGGTAGGTTTATTTATTATTTTTTAATGCTCGACTGAGGCAGCGCAGAGGATCCTGGTGAGAGGAATGGAGGAGTCAGGGAGTGGCCAATGAAGACCATGGCCACCATTGATTAATTTTCCACCACTCCAAGGTCCACCTCGACCATTTGAGGAAACTACATTTATATGCATTTTATAAACTAGAAAGCAGTTTCCTCAAACGATAGGAGTGGCCAGTTTATATATAAATGTATACACATAGATACAGTATGTGGTGGTGGCCATCTTGGATTTTGACGTGGCAACCCTATTTTTGATAGTGACCTTGCTTATGCCTAGATGCAGTCACACTCCAAAATGGAAGTCGACGTGTTGCTTAATTTTAAAGTTATCAATCTCACAATGTTAACAAATACAGTGACCATGAAGTAGGGATACAGTAGTCCAATTAGTAGTAGTAGTTTAGTATTATATATATATATATATGCATGAAGGTGTTATAAACACTTCCCACACTCTTGCAATATTCTAAACATTATATCTAAACTCTAAACGCTCTAAAAGAGCACAGCATGTTATGATTTCAGCTCTCTGCCTCCTGATGCACTTTGCCATCTGGAAGCGCTTTCGGCCACGCCCACTTCTGTGGTGCAGAATGGAGATATGACACGCTGCAGAAGGATGCTTCTACTGCAGCTGTGGACTGCACACAGGTGCAGCAGGTGCTAAATAATTTAAAATAATTTATTTTAAATAAAAATTCCATGTCCATCGTGCGGCTCATCCATCAGTCAGCCAATTGTGTCTTGTCCAATCTTATTTTGAAAAACCGTGATAGAGCAAGACCAAATGAAGCGTGAAGTAGAGAAGGACTATTGCATACATTTATGGCGGCAGCCATCTTGGATTTTGACCTGTCAATCCAATTTTCTAAAGGAAGCTTTCTTCCAAGATATAGCCACACACCAAAATGGAAGTGTGTAACTCTTTTATTTTTCAAGTTATCATGCTCACAACGTGCACGGACAAACCGAGGGTATTTCTAATTCCTCCTTTTTGCTCCGTGACGGGAAACAAAAGTTCTCGAGAAATTCTGAAGGTTGCCCACGCAGCTACGACTCAAAATTCCAACATAAGTTAACTTTCTTATATAAAACTCAATAGTAACTTTTATTTTGCAATAATCTAAGCTGACAAAATGTGATGTTTTGATGTGTAAACTATAAAAGAAGTATAAAGTTTACTCAAAGGTTAGTGTGACAAATTACACTGTAGGTTGGCCATTAGCTAATCAGAAAATCTGAAAATTTAAACTGGAGACATGTAAAAAGTTTTAAAAATAGTAAAACACCAATTTAACCATGTAAAGTCCAAGTTCTCACTGCATAGTTCAACTCCCTGTGACATCTTTAAACTCTGAATGATGTTTCTAATGTGAAGCATGTGAAGAGAGCTGGTTCTCCTATAGTCAAACATTCGTTGTTGTGTCTGTGGAAATGTTTTCAGCATTTTGTGAATTTTATCAACAGTCTTCCGTACACTGTACTGCTACCAGAGGTCCCACTATGCCTGATTTATTTAGCCACACATTATCATGTATGTTTTGTATGCGATCTTCTAAAGCTTCAGGAGTTGTAAAACAGAAACTGTGACATGGAGAGAAAACCACATCTTTCTGTCGTTGCAGATAGTTCATGCTGTGAATGTGAAGTGATTGCTGCTGTGCACCACACAGCACCTGAGACGGTTCTTGAGCGTGTGAACCTCGCGGCTCAGACCCTCGCTGGCCTCGGTGGCGTCGTCCAGCTCTCTCTGCAGCTTCCTGCGCAAGGCGTTGGCCCTCGTCGCCTCCTCCTCGGCCTCTTCGAGCTGCCGCTTCAGCTGCTTCATACGAGAGTTCGCCTTCTCCACCTTCACACACACAAACAAGAAAATAAACATTTAAAACTAATGAAAACATCCAAAGCGTGACAACAGTTTATCATAACATTATCAGTGAACATACTTGCTCTTTGAACTGGTCGGCATGGCGACGCTCATCCTCCACCTGCATGCAGACTTCTTTCAGCTTCTTCTCGGTTCTTCTCACTATCTTATTGGCTGCTGCTCGCTCCCTTTAGTGATGAAAACATGATTATAAATTTATCCTGCAACAGTTCTCAGAAAAAAATGGTTTTATTTCCTCTCACCTGGCCTCTTGCTCCATCTGTTCCTCCAGCTGGGCTATTTTGGCCTCCAGAGCTGTGATGGTGGCCTTGAAGCGGTTCTTCACAGAGCCCTCCAGCTCGCTCAGCTTGGCCCGCAGATCCTTGTTCTGACGCTCCAACTGCTGGCGAGCGTTTTCACTCTTCTGGGCAGTGCTGCGCTCCGCGCTCAATTCTGTGGTCAGGGTGTCCACCTAGAGGGGACGTAGAGAACAGAGGAGCATGTCATGGAGAGGAGCGGTGCAGGATTACAAGACAACGAGCCATAACTGGAGAGAAACAAACAAAGAATGTTTTCAGCTGTTCCCTTCATCTCCACAGAGAGGGAACTCACATGAAAGATTAGGAAATTGTTTTAAACCCCTTACTGATGTAACCTGGGCTCAAACCTGCAGCCTCAGGATCACAAGACCGCAGCACTGACCACCGAGCTACAACAGCCTCAACAAACAGAGAATAAAGCTGATAAATAAATCTGACTCCAGCACACCTGCATGGTCGACTTCCTGAATCTGTCGTTGAGCAGCTCCATGTTGCCCTGCTCCTCCTCCAGCTCCTCCTCCAGCTGGGCTATTCGAGCCTCAAGTCGCCTCTTCTCATCCATCAGAGCAGCCCTGGTGTTCAGAGAGAAGACATCTTAGTGGAGGCAGCAGACGAGCTTCTTCAGACGTGTCACTGTTCCTGCTCTGATGGTTCATTTAAACCACGCTCAGGCAACAAGTGTTAAAGCAGCTTAGATCAGATTAACACACACAATCAAACTGATCAATGAACTGCATTCCTTTTACAGAAATAATGATTTAGCTCGTCTGCCTAATTCAGACGTGGGCAACTTAAGGCTCGAGGGCCAAAAGTGGCCCTTGAACAATCTCCACCAGGCCCCAATGTCTTTAGTTCAAAAGAAAACAAATAAAAAACTGAAAAGTGGGGCGTGCAATATTATTCGGCCCCCTTGCGTTAATATTTTGTAGCGCCGCCTTTTGCTGCAGTTCCAGCTGCAAGTCTCTTGGGGTATGTCTCTATCAGTTTTGCCCATTCTTCTTTGCAAAACAGCTCGAGCTCAGTGAGGTTGGATGGAGAGCGTTTGTGAACAGCAGTCTTCAGCTCTTTCCACAGATTCTCGATTGGATTCAGGTCTGGACTTTGACTTGGCCATTCCAACACCTGGATATGTTTATTTGTGAACCATTCCATTGTAGATTTGGCTTTATGTTTTGGATCATTGTCTTGTTGGAAGATAAATCTCTGTCCCAGTCTCAGGTCTCTTGCAGACTCAAACAGGTTTTCTTCCAGAATGGTCCTGTATTTGGCCCCATCCATCTTCCCTGTCCCTGCTGATGAAAAGCAGGCCCAAACCATGATGCTGCCACCACCATGTTTGACAGTGGGGATGGTGTGTTCAAGGTGATGAGCTGTGTTGCTTTTACACCAAACATATCGTTTTGCATTGTGGCCAAACAGTTGGATTTTGGTTTCATCTGACCAGAGCACCTTCTTCCACATGTTTGGTGTGTCTCCCAGGTGCTTGTGACAAACTTTAAACAACACTTTTTATGGATATCTTTGAGAAATGGCTTTCTTCTTGCCACTCTTCCATAAAGGTCAGATTTGTGCAGTGTACGACTGATTGTTGTCCTATGGACAGACTCTCTCACCTCAGCTGTAGATCTCTGCAGTTCATCCAGAGTGATCATGGGCCTCTTGGCTGCATCTCTGATCAGTCTTCTCCTTGTTCCAGATGAAAGTTTAAAGGGACGGCCGGGTCTTGGTAGATTTGCAGTGGTCTGATACTCCTTCCATTTCAATATGATTGCTTGCACAGTGCTCCTTGGGATGTTTAAAGTTTGGAAAATCTTTTTGTATCCAAATCCAGCTTTAAACTTCTCCACAACAGTATCTCGGACCTGCCTGGTGTGTTCCTTGGTCTTCATGATGCTCTCTGTGCTTTGAACAGAACCCTGAGACTATCACAGAGCAGGTGCATTTATACGGAGACTTGATTACACACAGGTGGATTCTATTTATCATCATCAGTCATTTGGGACAACATTGGATCATTCGTAGATCCTCACTGAACTTCTGGAGTGAGTTTGCTGCACTGAAAGTAAAGGGGCCCAATAATATTGCACGCCCCACTTTTCAGTTTTTTATTTGTTAAAAAAGTTTGACACATCCAATAAATTTCATTCCACTTCACGATTGTGGCACAATTGTTATTGATTCTTCACAAAAAATAAAAAAAATATTTCTTTATGTTTGAAGCCTGAAATGTGGCAAAAGGTTGAAAAGTTCAAGGGGGCCTAATACTTTCGCAAGGCACTGTATGTCTTATATTCCAGTATGTCTTATTCTTAAAGGTTATTGGAAAGACATGTTTGTATAAAGCATGCTAACTATGCTATAACAACAAACAAAAAAAAAGCCCGAAAAAAGTTTTTTACATTATCTGTCAAAGAAAAATTTCCAATTCTCCATTCAGCCCTTTGATTGATTTAAACATCTTGATATAGCTCTTTGGAAAAAAAAATGCTGCCCACCTCTGGTCTAATTCACAAAGCTGCGACTAACAAACAGGCTATGATGTGTTCAGTTTGTCTACACCTAAATGGGGTGTTACTGAGAGGAAGATCTGCTCGTTATGTAATTATCTGTCATGGCAGATAGCACCGGGCATACAGTTAGCATGAAATAGTTACATCTCAGGAGAAAACACAAAGGAAGCTTAGAAATCTGCTGCTCAAATGCTTTCACTCACTCCCCCAGTCTAAAGCCAAGTGAAGGCAAGTGGGAGTCTGACCCGCCCTGCAGGGTTGAAAGGAGCAGCGCACACATCATGAACCAGAAAAAAACAAAGTAATAAGTGAATATTAGATGATTGATTAAAACCCCAAACATTAATTACTGATTTAGAAATGCCTTCCTGACTGTGTCTCCCGCCTCATACAATGAGATGTGGTTCATGCAGTTTTAGTCCCCTCTGTGCTTCATCTGTTAGGATCTGTGATGTTCTCCGTCATTTCTGCACCTGCTGTGTTTGGGAAGACCGGTCAAATGTAGTTGTGCAGACATGACAACTGCAATCTGACACTGGACAGTTGTGCTTATGCCAATATTTAATGATTACCATTTGCTTTGTTTGTACAACACCAAGAAGGAGCAGGTGTTGGGGGCAAATGATCCCTAAACACAACTTTCTTAAAGCTCCTTGGATGAAAAGTGAAATATCTTTAATAACCAAGGAAGGTTGTCCAGCACTTTGTTTAACAACTCTAAGTATCAGTCAGCTGCTTTGCATCTTTATGGAGGGTTCTCAAGTATCTTCAGACAAGACACTGCACCCTCTGCCCATGCGTACTTACTGGAGCACAAATGGTGACGGTAAACTGGTGCTTTTCTTAGTGTAGACAGTTGGGAATCGTTTATATTTTTAGAGTCTGTAATTTACCCAAGAAATAATGATCTAGGATCTAAACTCTATCTAGGGTTTATCCCATATCTAGCTCATGAATGAACAGCTGGAATGGAAAACAACTCCCTGAACGTTTCTGCTGACGGGTAACTTCAACCTGATCAACGTGGTGACATCTGCTTACTTTCCGGAGGTGCTGTTTGAGATATCATCCTGCAGCTCGTCTCGTTCTTGCTCTGCGTGACGCCGACCCCTCTCAGAGGCCGCGAGGTCCTGCAGAGCAGAAAAACAAAGTTTAGACACACACTGATGTGCACAAATTTAACAAACGTTTCGCAATGTCACCCAAACAAACAGTCCCACGTGCAGCTCTGACCTCGTGTAGCTGAACGATCTCAGCCTCCAGACTCTTGAGTTTCTTCTCAGTCTCTTTAGACATGGCAAAAATATCATCCCTGGAGGCCCGGGTGTCCTCCAGCTCCCTCTGATAGTCCTTCATCTGAGCCTGGAGGAGGCAAAGTCATCCAGTAAACAGAGAAGACAGAATTAAAAAGCTTCATCATCTAACAGAAATAAAATGAGCACCTGTAACTTCCGCAGCTGTTTAATGGCTTCGTCTCGGGCCTTGTTGGCTCCTTCAATGTGACTCTCTATGTCCTTCAGGTCCATCTCTAGCTTCTTCTTAGCTGCTACAGCCAAGGCTTTCTGCTTCCTCTCATCCTCCAACTCAGCCTCCATCTCTCGCACCTTGGGAGGAGGAGGCATTACAAGTCAGAGGGCGATAATGTAAAGCTCATGGTTCCTTACAGCCCAGTTATTACTGAGTACTATGTGCTGGCACCTGTTTGACGAGGGCTCTTTTCTTCTCATCGTTCTGGTCGTCCCGGCCCTGGAGGTCCCTCTCGTACTGGGCCTTCATGGCCTGCATGTTGACCTCTAGACGCAGCTTGGCATCCTCTGTGGCCTGCAGCTCATCCTCCAGCTCCTCCAGCTGAGTCTTCATCTCCTCCAGCTGCTGCTCCAGAGTGCGCTTGGACTTCTCCAACTCGTGGACCTGAGGAATGTGAGGAAATGTGACAAGTAGTAAAAGAAGGAGAATACAAAAGCACAATAGAATAACCCAACACTGTGGCTCACATTCTTGCCCACGTCGTCCTTTGAGCTCATCAGATCTTCCATTTCAGCACGGAGCTGCTTATTAATCCTCTCCAGCTCCTCTTTGGCCTCCAGGGCCTCATCCAGAGCTCTGGTCATGGACAGAGCTTTGGTCTCCTTCTCTCTGGCCTCGGCTTCGGCACGGTCACGCTCCTCTGCGTAACGTGCTGAGATGCTCTTCTCCTCAGCTAACATCTACAGACAAGGATGTGGATCAGTATCTAAGTTATATATTTCCCTAACAAACGTATTCTTCCAAAAAGCTGATTTACACAAATCTGTATAAAGCCCAGCAGATTAATGAAAAAAAAAAAGGATTATAACCTGGTCAAACTTCTTCTGTTTCTTCTCCAGGCTGGACACAATCTGTCTCTGGTGATCCAAGTCAACAGTGAGATCATCCAGCTCCTGCTGAAGACGGGTCTTTGTCTTCTCCATCTTCTCAAAGGCAATCGTTTTCTCCTCCAGACGTTGGCTGGCCAGCTCCAGGTCCTTCTGCAGTTTCTTTTTCACCTCCTCCAGGTTCTCGATTGTTCCGACGTCATCCTCGAGCTTTTTCTTGCTCTCTGACAGCTTTAAACACAAACAAGCAATCAGAGCCTGAATGCAACTAAAGCTAACGTGTTAAACAGCAGAGGTCCCACCTGAGCCTGTAGGGTCAGCTGCTGTTTCTCCAGATTCTTGCGTGCCTCCTCATCCTCCTCCTGTTGCTCCTGCAGAGCAGTTTTCTCCTCCTCAAGCTGGCGAATGCGGCTGCTCAGGTTCAGTTTCTGACGGGTCTCCTCCTGGAGCAGCTCCTACATGAAATTAAACGTCAGTCTTGTTATTCTAAAAGGAAAGACTCATTAAAAACCAATCTACTAGTTAACACTTGTCACCTGTGTGTCTTGGAGCTGGCTCTCCAAACCAGCAACATCTTTGGCCGTCTTGATCCCTTTCCTCTCTGCGTCCTCCAGCAAGGCAGACACATTATCCAGTTCAGTCTGTATAGAGAGGTTCAAACTAAATTACAGGCATAACAAAAAATTATAACAACAAATAGGGCTCTCAGTGATTTATCACTGTTGTTATCAAATAATAATGTAGATAAATTTGTGAACATATAAATTTTAATACAAGATCCATCTGTCATTTGAATGTACTGATGAAAAGACTTCCTTACTTGTCAAATGAGCTTTGAAATCAACAGAGTCAATCTCAAGTCATAACTTCCTGATAAAAATTTATAAAATTAAAGGAGTACCAAACCAGAAGCAACCTTATTACTGTTTACCCGTAGAGCTTCAGTTTACGTCATAATTTTCAATTTGCAAATCTTCTTTCAGCTTTGAGAAGCCCCAAACAAAAAACACGTCAATATGTGAGGCAGTTTGTACAAAATAGACTAAATTAATAAGGGGGGGAACAATACATCGATTTACATCGATTCAAAGATTAATGATTCAATTATATTGTGGTAAAACTAAAACGATTCATATAGTCATCTTTAAAATATGCTTTTATTTTGAAATTCCCAAGGCACGTCTGTGTCACCATTTCTGTGCACAGCTGCGCTCTGCAGCCGCCTCAGCAACATGGCAGATGAGGCAGAAAACACAGAATGAAATTCACTCTCCTGCTGGATTTAAAATCAACACTGGAAATATTTTTGATTTCAACAGAAGGACGGCTCAACAGACAAAACTTGTGTCGTATGCAACAGGTGCCAGTGTGAGTTAAAATACTCGGGAAACAACAAATTTGTCCGTTCACCTGAAGAAGAAACACGGCATTGATAGCCATGTTATGTAAGCTCAATATCTATTTTTGTTTCTTTATAACTGAAAGGTAATCAGGGCACTTGTAAGATAACTGGGTTAAAAAATGCACTTAAACATGAGAAATGTGAGACTATACTGAACAGGTCTTATTTATTTTTTCATTAATTAAGAAAAAAGTTTGTTTATTTAAATGCATGGTGCCTGTAATAACATAAATAAAATGGTTGAATCATATTTGAATTGTTTTTTGTAAATGTATTTATATGTAAATGAGATGGGCATTTGACATCACAATATATCGATCTCAGACTTGTGAATCAAATAGAATCAAAATCGTATCGTGACACACTTTGTGATATCGAGAAAAATCGTATCATCAAACAAACAAATCAATATAATATTGTATTGTGGTAAAGATGGTGATTTACACCCCTAAAAATTAATAAGAAAATGTAAAAATAAAATAAAATAAATTGCACTGCATTGGGGTTTTCCCTGTGAAGGACTTGTGACCTGTCCAGGGTGTCCCCCGCCTCTCGCACAGTGATGGCTGGATATGGGCACCAGTGACCCCCACGACCCGAAAAGAAAGAAGCGGTTAAAGATAATGGCTGGCTGGCTGGCTGGGGTTTTAGCACCTCTTATACAGTTTATATATGAAAATATCAACAATTTGGTTTTCTTTCCCACAATGTGTCTCACTGCTGTAGGACTTGTGGTCTTCTTTCAAATCCAAACTCTCATTGACTCCTATTTTATCAGAGCTCAATTTTTTTTAATTACAACCTGGAAATGAAGAGTGTTTATATCTTATGAAACCTCCTACATAAAATGTTGTAGATGGATGACAACTGATGTGTGATGAACAGAAGCTTCTGCCGCCTACAGTTCAGAAAGTTTTTAATTACGACTTTTACTTTTCTCAGTGACCGTCTGAGGCCTACTTTCTACTCTGCATTTCTGCAGTTCAAGAGCACTGTAATAAAGTGAGAGACACAGGGGTGTGGTTACTGTGGTGACCCTAATGAGCCAATGGGAGCAGCTTTAACGTGTTTTTGATCTTTGTTACACTTCTTTAAGCCCAAATTGTTCTATAATGAAAGACAACATGTATTATTCTAAACCAGTGGTGTAGTCTACATTTTTGTAGTGGGTATACCACGGTAACGTTGGATGTTGGACACCGCTGAAGCCACGGAGCACGAATGTTCAACATCCAATGTAAAGCTAACTTTACCACGGTCTGTTCATATACTGTGCTTAGAAACCAAAGTACACTGGTTAGTACAATGTAATCATCAATTTATTTAGATTTTTAAACATATTGAACATTTCCAAATTTCTCTGATGTTTATATTTGAATAAATGAACAACAAACTTTGTACAAATGTTGGCTTAGTATTAAAAACATGTTATAGAATTTATAAAACAGTATCAAAGCAAAACATGTTCAAGTATTAAGTAGTAAGTACAGAAGTATTAATTATACAATAATTTGCTGGATAAGCGAATGTAATAAACAAGCGCTGCATACCGATAGATTGTTACGGAAGCATTTAAACTGTATCAATGAACACATGTCCAATGATATGTCATGTATGTAAGAGTTCTAGAATTGCGCCGCTCAAGGTGGCTGCATGGTGGAGCAGCTCTGTTACTTTCATTTTGAGAATTTGCTTTTGGAAATTTTAAATCCTCTTTTTCTGGATGTAAATCACATTTTTTTGGATGATTGTTTCCTCTGGTATCAGATACTGTGCAGCTGGAAGGATTTTTACTGAAACTTTGTTAGTTTTGGACATTTGCTATGATGCGTAACCATGGCAACAAGGCAGTTTTCTACAACGAACAGCAGCTGATTAACATCTCAAATGCCCAAATAATATCTCAGCTACAGCCCCAAATCTCAAATGAGTTGAAAGGATGTTCTGTGGACGCATTCTCATCTACCTGCCAGCTGTGCTCGAGTGCCTGACCACTGAGATCCTGGAACTAGCAGGAAACACGGCTCATGACAGCAGAAGGACAGGATCGTCCCTCGGCACCTACAGATGGCTGTCCGCAGCGACGAGGAGCTCGGTGGACTGCTGGGAGGAGTGGCCATTGCGCTGGGAGGAGTTCTGCCCGGCATTCGGGCGGTCCTACAGCCCGGGGGAACCAACTAAAAACCCCTTTTAAGTTGGTATAATGAAATTCTTAAGCTTTTCTAGTGGGTATACTCCGTATACTCGCATATCACGTAGACTACACCACTGTTCTAAACTACATTTCTTTATGACCAGCAAGTTAACTAAAACATGTCCAACAAACATGACCAAACTAAAAAAGCCTTTCTAAATGTGGGTGTAAGGAGGATAATCTTGTTTACCTGCAGCTTGTGTGTGCGGTCAGCCAGCTCTCCTTTGGCCCTCTCTCCCTCTGTGACTCTGGCCATGAACTCCTGCAGCTGACCCTCCAGCTTCTTCCTCTTGTGTTCAGACTCTACCTTTGCCTGCTGTAAGCTTTTCACCTCACTGACCAGCTCCTTGTTGGCACTCTCCTGGCTCTGCTTGGTCTTTTCAAGATTAGCCTTAAACTGGATAGAAAAAAACAACAGAAAAACACAGAACGTGATGCTAGCTTCTTTATGGAGTACTGTTCATTCTATGATAGAGTAGGCTGATTGTGGAATGATCTTGTACCCTCTTGGCCTGCTCCAGCTGCTCAGACAGCTCCTCCAATGCAGTACCGTGCCTCTGTCGCATCTCCTGGATCTGAGCCTCGTGGTTTTTAGTTTCCTCCTCAATGGATTTCTTCAGCTCTGCAACCTCCTGTTCACGTTTGGTCCTACACCAAACAAAGACGGGGTTTTCAAAACAGCTCCCCATCTATTAGAAGAGCGAGTTATCGTGTGGATATTACCTGAGCTCCTGCTGAGCCGCAGTTGTATCCAGGGTGTCTTCCAGTTCAGTCTTGAGGGCTTCAAGCTCCTCACTCAAATCCCTCTTGAGTTTCTCAGCCTTGTTCCTGGCCTGCTTTTCTGACTCAAGGTCCTCCTGCAGCTCAGACAGCTGGGCCTGCAGCTCCCTGACCTGCTTCAGAACATTGTTCTTCTGGGCAGCCTCTTCTTCTCCTCTGTTAAATAGAAGTTTTGGAGAACATGTGGTCACAGACAAAATAAAAAATGGACATGCGACTAAAGAACTGTGCTTAAAGGTAAAAATGGTCTGAGTCTATTAAATAAACTAGAAAAATAGTAAATTATGGGAAAACAAAGTTCATCTATTTTCTATCTTACAGTTTTATGAATCAGGACATTTAAAAAATATATAAATAATATTTACAAAGTTTTAAAAACTCTTCAAATGTAACTTCAAGTTTACAAAAATACACAACCAATAAACAGCAAATTATTAAACAAAAGTGAAGCCAAAACGTAAAAACAGTGAAACAAAAGGTTTACAGCACACAGCTTTGTAAATGCAATGTCAAGGTTTGCTTTGTTTTCAGTACCTGGTGTGACCCTCCATGTGCAGCAATAACTGCAGCTAAATGTTTCCAGTAACTGTTGATCAGTCCTGATCACGGCTTGAAGGATTTTTAGCCCATTCCTCCGTACAGAACAGCTTCAGCTCTGGGATGTTGGTGGTTTCCTCACATTAACTGCTGCTTCAGGTCCTTCCACAACATTTTGATTAGATTAAGATCAGGACTTTGACTTGGCCACTCCAAAACATGAACTTTATTCTTCTTTAATCATTCTTTGGTAGAACGACTTGTGTGCTTAGAGTCATTGTCTTGCTGCATGACCCACCTTCTCTTGAGATTGAGTTCACGGACAGATGTCCTGACATGTTCCTTTAGAATTATCTGATATAATTCAGAATTCATTGTTCCATCAGTGATGACCAGCCGTCCTGGTCCAGATGCAGCAAAACAGACCCAAACCATGTTTCACAGATGGGATAAGGTTCTTATGCAGGAATGCAGTATTTTCCATTCAACAAGCATAACACTTTTCATTTAAACCAAAAAGTTCTACTTTGTCTCATCCGTCCACAAAACATTCTTCCAACAGTCTTCTGGCTTGTCCACTTGATCTTTTAGCAAACTGCAGATGAGCAGCAATTTTCTTTTTGGAGAGCAGTGACTTCCTCCTTCAACCCTGCCATGCACATCAATGTTGTTCAGTGTTCTCCTGATGGTGGGCTCATGAACATTAGCATTAGTCAATGTGAGAGAGACCTTCAGTCACTTAGAAGTTACCCTGGGGTCCTTTGTGACCTCACAGACTATTACAGGCATTGCTCTTAAGAGTGATCTTTGTTGGTCGACCACTCCCGAGGAGGGTAACAACCTTGGCTCTTGGAATTCCTTCATTTGTTTGGAACTCCTGACTCAGTGTGCCAAATTTGATCTACTCATTACCAACACCTGTTTAAGCCTTCCTGACAAATTTAAAACTACGTGGATGCGCCCAAGATCATGACAATGGCACCTCTTGGATTACGTGATTGGCCGAAAAAGTGATTTGCAAGACTTTCACATAACGATAGCTATGAGGGGTGCTCAGGGCTGGACAGGTCATAGGGTTATTAGATCAAAGCTAAGCATGACATTGAAGGGACCACGGAGATCCTGCCATAAGACCCCAGCAAAGCTAGATGTTGCAAAACTAGTAAACTCTAAAGACCTACAGAAAGCGCTCAATGATACTTTTGGTGGTATTGTATACCATCTGCTAATGTGGGAGCGTCTGTAGGTGAAGGATGGTGTGAATATGCCTGGAACCTTAATGCATGTGCTTTTTAAGTCATTGGCAGACCACGAAAGAAATATTGTAGTGGACTAGGCCTACGTCGAAACTAAGTCTAAGGTCAAAACTCTTGACCTTTAGAACCTTGTGGGACAGGAACTGTCATTTCATGTATTTGAATACATAGATACAGGTTCACCCATCCTGAGACTTTCTTTCTTGAAGATTCAAGTGAAAAGAACACTCTCTTTTTATTATCATTACTATCTTACAAATGTTGATAATCAAAGTGTCTTAGTTCAAACCATTTTAGATGTTGCAGTGAACTAATCAATTTTATTAACTGAGTAATGATTTTTATTCTCATGTTAAAAGCTGTTGCAGAGTAATTATGCATTTTTCTGATTTCTGCTTTTGAATGAGCAAGTGTGTGCGTTTACAAGGTTACAGTCAAACGAAAAACAAGTTGTTATGTTAAAACTGTCATGTTTTAGAATCCTCTCAGACGTAAATAGAGATGTTTTGCACCTGTTTCTTAGGCACGCCAAAACAGAACCCTCTCGGTCTGTGAGAACATTTCTGAGCTGTCCCATAACAATTCTCACTGTCTCTAACCTCTTACGTCACAAAAACACACCCCTTCTGGTCGTTTCTGACCAATGAAAAATCCCAAAAAGTGAACCGGGAAAGAGTCTTTAAAATGTCAGTACTTCCTGGTCTACACAGACTCACAGGTACACGGACTCACAGGTACTCAGAGTGACTTACGACTCACGGAGTTACAGAGTTCACGGAGTTGGAGAGTTGTCAGACTTCTAGAGTTCTGGAGTTCTGATGGAGTGCTGTTGGAGTTCCTGACATGACAACAAAGCTCTTCCGAGTTCCATGGGATTATAACATTTTCCACTGAGGTGAATGTGTGTCGAACAGAGCCTCGCCACTACTTCTGACGGGCTACAGCCATTCTAAGGAGACGCTGGACCGGTAGCGTTAACGGAACACCATATCTGCTGATTATCATCAGAAAGGTAATGGGTCAAGTTTCCTACCAAGCGTACCGAGGCGAGCTGGGCTTCTGATGGAGAGTGTCGGTTCTGGTGACCATTCAATTTCCCTCAAACCCCATCCTTTACTCCCTCTAAACTTCTTTCCATCTTTAAACTTTCCTATGAAGTAGAAATTCTCCCAGATATTTAGAAATGTCTGTGTAAAGTGCTTATTCACATCCGTGTGGGTAAAAGATCATAGTTGTACAGTTTTATAAATGTCAGCAACGGAAAAATCATGGCCGTATGATTTTTCCTGATTGATTGCTTATATTGTTATTTTCATAATTTGCCAAATTAATGTAAATGTTTGATGTTAAATTTGATTCTGTAAATAAATGACCGCATTCATTTTGATGGGTCAAATTTAAATGACGTCTCACTTTGCATTTCCTTAAATTCAGTGCACGTTTTATTCAGTCCAGAAAAATGAGGAACCCGCGTTAAATGATGAATATATCTCAGCATCTGTTCATCTACAATATCAAGACTGGTTTGATGATACTGACATGGAGATAAAAAAGACTTGAGGAGGACCATAGACATGCCCTTAACATTCAGTCGAATGTTTCTGATAAGAAGACTGCACAGCAGAAACTAAAACTTAAGGTTAGGGAACTAAAGGACAAGTAGTGGTCCGAGAGAGCCAGAGAACTACAATCCTACGTGGAATCTATACAAATGGGCAGGTTTTTCAAGGGCATCCTGGCCCTATTTGGTCTGAAAATGAGGAAGACAGCGCCAATATACTCTCGAGGTAAACAATGCCAGCTGACGGATCAAAACAATATATTAACAAGATGGGTGGAGCACTTCAATGAGGTTTTTAATCCTGACACAAAGTGCTGACCTCGCATACATCAACATGATCATAAGCTTGCCTGAATGTGAAGACCTGGTTGATCCACTGACTTCTGATGAATTTATTACAGCACTGAAGAAACTAAAATATGCCAAAACACCAGGTGATGATAGCCTTCCTGGCAAAATCTATAAATATGGAGGACCCAATATAAAGTGCAGGCTATTAGACATCATCTTGAGTTTGTGGGAATCACAGACTGTTCCACAAGACTGGAGAGATGCTTCTATCTACAAACTCTACAAAAGAAAGGGTAATGTGTCAGACTGCAGCTCTTATCGAGGCATCTCCCTCCTATCAGCAGCTGGAAATGTGCTGGCACACATCATTAACACTCGCCTTGGCAAACTGGCTGGGAGAATACTACCGGAAACGCAATGTGGTTTTAGACCGAACAGAGGAAACATGGATGCAATTTTTATGTAGAAGAAGAGTTTGGAACAGAATAGTCCCCTCTAGATGTGCTTCGTGGATCTCGAAAAGGCATTTAACCACATGTCAAAAGAGGCTCTGTGGATTATCCTTAATAAATCCAGATGTCCTGAGAAATTCACTAACCCAATTAGGCAGTTCCATGACAACATGAGGGCCCAAGTTATGCATGAATGTGTTTTTTTCAGAACGCCTCCTGGTTACGAGTGGAGTAAAACAACATCCTTTTTGCATTCTAATTTGCTGCAGTGATGAATGTTGCTCTTGAAAGATGCAGTGGACGTGTCCAGTTTAATGTGCAGACAGACAAGAGTGTATCCGATCTGTCCTGATTTAGAGCGAAGTCCCGAACTACCAACCTTTCAGTCATGGATATCTTCTATGCCGACAATGTATGTCTAATGGCAGACAGCATGGAAACTTTACAGAGCTATCTCAATGCCTTGCAGGAATCATGTCGCAAGTTTGGATTGGTTATAAGTGTCACCAACACCCAGGTACTTAAATAGCCGCCAAGGGGCTGTGATCCTGACATTAACACGCTGACCATTGATGGGATAAACCTAGAAGAAGTCAACACCTTCCGTTATCTGGGCTGCCAGATAAGAAATGACAACCATTTGCGTCCGAAATCACTGTGCATATAGAGGGAGCTGCTGCCACCTTCAGCAAGTTAAATCAGCATGTGTGGAAATCTCATATCACACTGCAGACGAAGCTTGCAGTTTACCATGCCATAGTACTGCCAATACTTTTATACGCCTCTGAAACCTGGTGCCTGTATAAAGGTGACATTAGAAGGTTGGACGCGTTTCACATAAAATGCCTGCGTTCCATCTTGTGCATCAAATGGTAGGATCATGTCACAAATGTCGAAGTTCTTCATTGCTCAAATACGCACGGCATGGAGGCCCTACTGATGAGAGGACAACTGCAATGGTGCGGCCACATCCAGCGAATGGAAGACTATAAACTACTAAAGAGAGTATTCTATTCAGAGCTTTTTAGTGGGAAGCGTAACTCCGGCGGGCCGTACCTTCACTATAAGGACGTCTTGAAACGTAATCTGACGTAATCAGAGGCTGCTCAAATAAGATCAATTTGGCATTCAAAGGTCAAGAAAGGCATCTCAAACTTTGAAATCTCTCACATTTCCGAGTTAGACCTCAAACGACAAATTTGCAAGAACTGACCTAAACTCTCCTACAACTAAACTTACAACAGTGATGGCCAGCTACACTGCATGACCTGCAACCAAATATTTAAGATGAAGTTCAGATTTGCCAGCCACATACGAGCACATGCCAGAAGTTAGCCAGGGTCGCCGTTGTCGGACACAACGCGAACGACATCTCTTGAATTTCCTCCATTTGTACTCAATCTGTCTGACCGTGGGCTGGCAGAGTCCAAACTCTTTAGAGATGGTTTTGTAACCTTTTCCAGACTGATGAACATTAACAACTCTTTTTCTGAGGTCCTCAGAAATCTCCTTTGTTCGTGCCATGATCAACTTCCACAAAAATGTTGTGAAGAGCAGACTTTGATAGATTCCTGTTATTTAAATTAAACAGGGTGCCCACCTATTGGGCCATTTCCTTGTGGCCACTGCCTAGAGCTGTGGCCGTAAGGTTTTTGGTGCTTCTCGCGGCAGCCATCCTCGAACTCGGTGGGGGACACCCTGGGTTAGGGAGACTGTCAAGCTGAAGAAGAAATTATATTGGGCCTTGTTGGCTGGTGGAACTTCAGAGGCAGCTGAGTAGTACTGGAGGGCCAAATGGTCCGCAACCTTGGCTGTTGCTGAGGCAAAAGCTCGGATGTGGTAGGAGTTTGGCGAGACCTTGGATAGACTCTCTGTTGGCTCCGAGGAGATTCTGGCAAACTAGCAGGTGGCTGAGGAGGGGAAAGCAGCTCTTTACTAACACGGTTTTCAGTGAACTTGGGGGTGCTATTGACCTCAACCAGTGATGTTGTTGGGAGGTGGAAGGAATACTTCTCGAACCTTCTCAGTCCCACCGGCATGTCTTCCATGGAAAAAGCTGAGTTGGGGGACTTTGGGGTTGGTCTATCCATAACGGTGGCTGAGGTTGCCGGGGTAGTTAAAAAGCTCTGATGCAGCAGAGATCTGAGGGTGTATGAGATTTGCCTTGAATTCCTTAAGGCTCTGGATGTTTTGGGGCTGTCTTGGTTGACACGCCTTTGCAACATCACATGACATTGAGGGTAGTGCCACTGGATTGGTAGACTTGGGTGGTGGTTCCCCTCTTCAAAAAGGGGGACCGGAGGGTGTGCTCCTATTATAGAGGCATCACTCTCCTTAATCTCCTTGGTAAGGTCTATTCAGTGGAGAAGTGAGTCCGATTGTTGGTCGAACCTCAGATCCAGGAGTAACAATGCGGGTTTCATCCTGACCGTGGAACACTGGATCAGCTCTTTACCCACACTAGGGTCCTTGAAGGGTCATGGGAGTTTGCCCATCCAGTCTACATGTGTTTTGTGGACTTGGATAAGGTTTTCGACTATGTTTCTCGGGTACACTGTGTGGGATGCTCCACGAGTATGGGATCGGAGGCCTGTTGCTATGGGCTATTCAGTCGCTATACATGCGGTGCGAGAGTTTGGTTCGCATTGCCAGTAGTAAGTCGGACCCCTTCAGGGTGGGAGTTAGTCTCTGCTAGGGCTGCCCGTTATCACTGATTCTGTTCTTAACTTGTATGGACAGAATTTCTCAGTGCAGCCAGGGGGCGAAGGAATTCCCATTCGGTGACCTCAGGATTCCTTCTCTGCTCTTTGCAGATGAGGTGGTCCTGTTGGCATCATCATGCCATGATCTCCAGCTCTCACTGGAGCGGTTCGCAGCCGAGTGTGAAGAGGCTGGGATGAGAATCAGCAACTCCAAATCTGAGGCTATGGTCCCAAGTCAGAAAAGGGTGGATTGCTCTCTTCAGGTCGAGGGTGAGGTTCTGCCTCAAGTGGGGGAGTTCAAGTATCTTGGGATTTTGTTCACACCAGTGTGGTAAAAATGGAGCAGGAGATTGACAGAAGGATTGGTGCAGCATCTGCAGTATTACGGACTCTGTCGGGTCCATTGTGGTGAAGAGGAAGTTGAACAGGAAGGCAAAGTTATCTGTTTACCAGTCTGTCTACGTTTCTACCCTTACCTATGACCACAAACTTTGGGTAGTGACCGAAAGAATGAGATCGCGGATACAGGTGGTTGAAATGAGTTTCCTCTGCAGGGTAGCTGGACTCTCCTTTAGAGATAGGGTAAAAAGTTCAGACATCTGTGCGAAATTCAAAAATAGAACCGCTGCTCCTCCACATCAAGAGGAGCCAGTCGAGGTGGTTCGGGTATCTGGTAAAGATGCTTCTTGGGGGGCCTCCCTAGGGAGGTGCTTCGGGCATGTCTGACTGGGAGGAGACCCTGGAGATGACCCAGGACATGCTGGAGAGACTACATCTCTTGGTTGGCCTGGTTACCCCAGAAGAGCTAGAAGAGGTGGCAGTGGAAAAAGATGTCTGGGCCTCAAGCTTAAGCTGCCCCCGCGACCTGACTTCGGAACAAGCGGAAGATAATGAATGGAAGATAAGTGGAAGATAATGGATGGATGAATGGGTGCCCACTCACACTTGACCATCATCCCATTGATTGAAAACCCTTGACTCTAAATTTCACCTTCAAATTAACTGCTAATCCTAGAGGTTCACATACTTTAGCAACTCACAAAAATGCAATATTGAATAATTTTCCTCAATAAATACATTACCAAGTATAATTGTTTTGTCTCATTCGTTTAACAGTGTTCTTTATCTACTTTAAGGACTTGTTTGAAAATCTGATCAAGTTTTAGATGATATTTATGCAGAAATATAGAAAATTCTAAAGTGTTCACAAACTTTCCAGCACCACTGTATCCAGATGTAGATGTTCCAGCAAATTTACCCCAAGTTTAGACTATGTAATACTTGAAGCAATTGTAAAAAATGAACATCTAAAAAATCAAAATCTGCAGGCCTCCATTAACAGGCTAAAGTTCATGACAGGAAGTTTGCAGAAAAACGCCTTTCCCTCTTAAAAACAATATGGCATTGCAACTTAAATTTGTAAAGTTGCATCTAAATAAACCACAAGATGTTTGGAACAATCTGCTTTGGACAGAGGAGACCACAACTGAAATGATTAACCATAATGCCATAAACACCATTTTTATAGAAAACTAACAACAGTATATCAGCACAAACACCCCATACCAGCTGTCCAGCACGGTGGTGGAAGAGTCATAATATTGTTTTGATGTGTGTAAAAGTGGGTGGACTTTTTTTTTTCTATGACTGTCATGTTACTGAAATCAAGTCATTCTATACTCTTCAGTCTCCACTGGGTGGCAGCAATATGTTGTGTTTTTACAGAGCAGTTGAGTTTTCTTTATAAATACCCCAGCCATTTTTAATACATAAAATCACTGTTTTTGAAGTGTCAGTCCAACAAAATGTCACATTTCATTAAAGTTGATTAATCTAATAAACTAGAATTGAGTGTTGCTTTTCTCTTCTGGAGGACCTAGTCATTGTCTCCCACCTCGCCTGCATCATCTGCTGCTCCTCTTCCTTTTTGCTCAGCTGAACTTTAACTTCTTCGATCTGTGACTGCAGCTCGGCTATTTGGTCCTGGAAGTCTGACGTCTCTCCATCCAGCTTTCTCTTCGCCTTCTCCAGCTCCTGGCGGGTCTTCTCCTCCTTCTTCAGTCTCTCTAAATCAGAAAATAGACAACACTGTAATTTAGTAACTAGATTTTCTTTTAATTTATTCTTTGGCCGCTGTTTATTAGTTTTCTCTTTACCCTCCAAGTCGACCATCATCATCTCCTGCTTGTTCTTGAGCTTTCCCAGGTTCTTGGCCTTCTCTTCCTCTTCAGCGAGCACCAACGTCACCTCATTGATTCTGTCTTCAAGGAGTTTCTTTTCCTGAAGAAGGCATAGGTCAGAGCAGTTTACTTAAGAACACTGTGCATACTTTTATTTTGGTAAGCTCTAAACTGTGATGCCCTCCAACCCTTTTTAAAAACAACTTTTAGAATTGTAAAATTGAACTTTACGTTTCTCAGATCTGATCATTTTACCTTCAGAAACTTGGAGTTCTGATCTTCTAGAAGTAAGATGTCCTCTTCATACTTCTTCAGTTTAGCTTCACCTGTGACTTTCTCGAGCTGTAGCTTCTGCCTGGCAGCCTCCTCCTCATCCAGCTGCTCCTCCAGGTCCTACAAACCCAAATCACTCAGTCCATATTTAACAAGATCACATTTAAATTTTCAGCATCCAGTTTGGAAGCAGTACATAACATGAAAACATGGGACTGGGATGTTGCAGAACTCTTTGAAACCCACCTGGATGTGAGATTGCATCTTTTTCTTCTCGTTCTGTAGGCCCTGACCCCTCTCCTCCTCTTCCTCCAGCCTGGACTCCAGGTCATGCAGGATCTCTTCCAGCTCTTGCTTTTTGGATGCCAGCCGAGCTCTCATCTCCTCAGCCTCTGCAAACAGTTCTGTCTCAGCCTGCAGCTGCTCTGCGAGGATGTTCTTCTCCTCCAGTAGCTACACACAGATAATATCACTCAGATATGCATCCAGTTTATTTGTCATGTCGCAGATGCTCATTGCTGTAGTTGTGAAGAACCTGCTGATGTTTTCTCTCCATCTCCACCAGCTCTCCCTCCACCTTCATCTGCTTCTCCTTCACTTTGACCAGCTCTTCGTCTTTTGCCTGCATCTCCTCCTCCTGTCTGGTCACCTGCAGCAGGGGCTTCACCTGCAGGTACAAACTCAAACATTTGCTACAAGTATTTAATATTTAATTATTAACCCATTCACACACACACACCTTAGTGAAGAGTCTCCACCACTGCCAGTGACGCAGCTTCAGGTAGGCAGCACAGTTTCTCTGGAGGACCTTCAGGGCGCTGAGTTGCTGCTGTTTCTTTGCAAAGGCCCTAAAACATCACAACCAGAGAAGAAGAGAGGAATGAGAGGCAGCAGTAAAAACTTGTGGTTCTGGTCCAGTAAACTGGCTCATGTGGGGACTTATACTGTCAGCATGTTGTTTGTATCAGAAGATAAATGCTTTAAAATGAACTCTCGAATTTGGTAAAGGTATGAAGACAAGGTAAAAACTACCATAAAGACCCTGAACACACACTCACACAAAAGCGCTCTTTTTGACAAATAAAAAATTGTCTGGTTTAAGCTCGTACAATTATTCAGTTTGAATCAAATAAATGCTGTTAATCCAAGCTAGACTTCCATATTAATTTGTCTAATTATTATCGGCTAACTAAGTGTTGAGTGGTGATCAAAAAATCCTGTCTTGATTAGCTAATGTTGATGAGCAGAAGCACAAACAGGTGAGTTATTACTCTGATTCAAAGTCTGTTTTTCTTACAAGTTAACAAGAAAAAAAAAAAAAAAACTGAAATTTAGGTGATCTAGAATCAGTTTCTCTGTAGCAATAAGAAAGAAGCTAAACCTCTGAAGATTAAACACCACCGGTTTAAAATATTGAACTGTCAATACTTGAGAAATGTCCCTCTAAAAATGACTTCTTTAAGATTAGTAAGTAGGTGTTTACTCAGAGACAGCAAGCTAGCTTAAAGCAGGGAAATCCAGGTTTTTGTTAGCATAACCCAGACAAGTGATGATAACGTAAGGAGGAAAGTTCAGTGCCGTGTTTAGGACTTAAGAAAGAAATAATCAGTCACTGCAGTGAGACGTTACTTTTGTTGCTCTGTGTAAAAAAAAATGTTGACAATATATTTTTGCTCTTTATTTATACTCTACGTTCCTTTGTGGGGGAGAATATCATCTTCTCCTGGTCTGTCGCTCTACTATATGCAAATAATAAGGGGTGTGTTGCCTGTTTGGGTGGTTTTCATTGACCTTAAAGTTTGTCAGAGTCAGAAGTCAAACTGGAATGATTTAAATGTTAAATGGACTGTACTTATACAGAACTGTTCTACCTGATCAAGATACTCAAAGCTCTTTACACTACACTCTGTGCCCTCATTTACCCATTCATACAGCACTTTACTAGAGCTCTACAAAGAATAAATCAGTGCTTTAGATCACATTCATACACTGATGGGACACACATCAGAGGCAATGATGGGTTCAGTGTCTTGCCCAGGGACACTTCAGCATGCGACTGCTGTTGGAATCGAACCCCCAACTCTCCAATTGGAGGACGACTGCTCTAACCACTCAGCCACAGCTGCTATTGATTTAAGTGACTTTTATTAGAAATGACTTCTTATTAAATACCAGGACTCAGTCTGCTGAAGTGGATTCTATCTTTCTATTAGAAGAGGTGATTTTTGTTCGTTTGTCGTTTATATAAAGATGATGGTGATCATCATCAGGTGGTTTTCACGTGTAATCACGTTTCACAGCTTCTACCCTGAAGCTGTTAGGCTCATCAATCCCTTATCAGGATAATCACTGTGAAAAAAAATCACTGTAATGCCACTTTGATTGTTGATATGTGCTGCTGATTATCCATGCTGCTGATCTCATGCTGCTGATTATCCATGCTGCTGATCTCATGCTGCTGATTTATTTCATGCTGCTGTATTCATTCGTACTCATCTGCTCACACAGACTCATGTTCGTGCTGCTGTTGTTTGGCGTATTGTTTTGCACTATTAGTGTTTTGCATATTTCTTAGTTTATTTTATTTCTTAGTCTATATCTTAGACCCTTATTACTGTTTCTTTTACAATTTATATTTTTGATATTGTTGGATGTAACTGGTAGCGTGTACACAATTTCGTTCCACCTCATGTACCACATGTGATGCGAATGACAAAGAATCTTGAACTTGAACCTGTAATGGTTTGTCATATGTCAGAAATAAGGCCCCTCAGTGTCAGTGCCATATGGATGTTAATCCTGCTCAAGATAAAAAAGTCTGTTGCTAATTACTGCTGCTGATCATAGCTGGAAGGAGAGCATAAGTTTCTAATGAGGAAAATACAAATATGAGTTCATACTTTAAATAATACTTATTCCTAGTTTTCCTGCTAGAAGTAGAAACAATATCTCTGTTCAGCTGCAGAAGATTGATGCATCAGTCAAAGTTAGCTGGAAAATATCAGTTTGAATATTGTCAAGATTTGTTTTTTCACAAGCAGGATCAATCCATACTTGCGTGCCAGATATCCTCGGCAGCCGGCCTGGAAGTAAATGATGATGTCAGTGATCTTCAGGTCTCTCTCTTCCTCCAGGTGGGCCAGGACTCCAGCCCTGAAGAAGATCTTACTCTGACCAATTCGGAAGAGATTCCCATCCAGCTCAAGAGCCTGAATCTACAAAAACAGAAGAGGCCGAGGGATTACTGTGATAAAATAAGACTACTTTCTTCTTTAGTAGCTGACATTTTATTCTCAGGCTGTTGTTTGAATAGATTAAATTTGAACTGGTCCTTGCCATTCTCTCGCAGGCCTGCTTGCCATCCATGAAACCCTTGGGAATGGCATTAGGAGTCAGGATCTCGTACCTTCACACAAAATATAAATTGTCAGAAAAAGAGATGTGGACAGAGTGAAAATGCGGGTGTCTGTTTTCTGAATGACAAGAAGAGGTTGCACAGATAAAACAAACTTTACAACAAACGTTCTTGTCAAGAAAAATGCTCAGTCTGCTGCTTATATTTTACCAACAGAACTACATACAGCACACCAGGAAGCTTCTGCATGAAATGAGATTATTTCAGAAATGTTTTTTAGCCTTCTTCAGTAAATATGAATTATTTAAAACATGGATGTATTCAGGCACTTTAAGCTACAAATGTGAGGTAATATGTCACCTCTGTCTGAACTCCTGGAAGACGATGCGGTTGGGGAACCCCTGTCTGCAGATTCGGATCCCCTCCAGAACACCGTTACACCTCAGCTGGTCCAGAACCAGGTGGGGGTCCAGTTTACCAGCCTGAAAAGGTCACGTTTGGGTTGAGTTTAAATGATCAAGACATCAAAGTGAGTCCCGTTTAGGAGAACTACCAGCAATCCCATCCTATAACTTTAACCACATAAATGTAAAAATTGAAGACTGATCACTCAAAGAATGCATTTTGTTTGGCATCTTTCAATCCAGAGTAAAAACTAAAATCACTTCATGTTGAGAAATGACAACGTTACAGCTGTTTGGAACAAATTTTGAAAATGTTCTGTGCAATTGCATGAAACATTGAAAGAATTGTAGGATCTGTTAGCGCTTGCAGTATGTGTTGGGGATGTCTCTCAGCTACTAACACTCCAAATTTTTGCTCAGTATTTGTAAAACTAACTGAGTTAGAGCTATTTCTGTGACTAACTAGCTGGGTCAGCCATCTTCAGTTAGATTGACTTCAAAAGTTAATTAGGGGTGCATGTACATCCACAGATTAATTTCTGAGAGTTTCATCGAAACAGGTCTAGTGGTTTATGAGATATTTTGCTAACAGACAGACACGCACAAGCAAACATTATCGTCCGCCTTTCTCCTTTAGGCAGCAGTCAACAACAGTTGAAAAAGAACGTATGGAGTGTTGCTCTCTGTCACTTGACTCACTCTTTTTTCGTGGTTGGGGATGATGCAGCGGACAAAGTTGGGGTTTGTGTTCCTGAGTGTGGCCATCAGTTTAGACAATTGCTCCTTGTACAGCTGTCCGACAGTGCGGAACATGCCTTTCTTAGTCTTGTAGGCAGCTCCAAACGCCGTCTCGTTCATGCCTGCGACTTGGTCCAGACCCACGATCCGGTCAACTGGAGAAAGAAACGAGCACCAGAGATGACTGCTTACAGACGTAAACTGATTTACTGTTCTGTTCTTACTGAAAGACTGCTTGATCTACTTATGTATACAAAAAGGGGAATATTTTGTTTTCATTAAATGTGGATGTTCATAAAAAATGCTGGAAAAAAAGGCGGGAAAACTGGATGATTCTCTACTGAAATGCAGCGAGCAGACACGCTCCAATCCCCTGCAGCTGTCATGCAGTTGTTAACTTTACGCTTCTTCTGTGCTCATGTTCAGAGTCTGTGGTCGGGTCAGCCACACTGTGGGCGCTACGTGACAAATAAAACCCTCTTCTTTGTAAAAAATTTATCATGTAATCTACTGGAGAGTTTCACACTGAACAGAACAGATAATTACCTAGTTAGAATCAAGATTGCCTGATTTTAGTCGATAATTAACCCAAACTTGTGACTTTTCATCTGTTGTTTCTTGTATACTCCTCATTTCTTTATCCCTCTTCGCAGCGTACTGTGCAAAAGTTTTGAGTCATTTCTCAGTTATTCATATTTTGCTTCCAAACTGCCAGTAACGTTTTAAAACGGTCTTGACAAATATTTCAAAGTTTTTCTTTGTAGTTTAAGCAATTTAACGCTGAGCCGGTAGACCATAATTAAACTACTGCTCAAGAAGTAATAGAATATTTAATTTGGCGACAGGGGACTTCTTAGGAATGTTGTGGAGGATCGTTTTCTCTATACGCATGCCAGACCTCCTCAGGAAGGTGAAAGTTGGACATTTCAGTTGTGGACTTCAATGCTCAGCCTCACTGACCACTGAGCTACATACACCCCTGCAAGATATTGGTCTTATTTACTTATTTTTTTTAACTATTAATGTCATAACATTGAATCAGATAATATATCATGTACAGAAATTCCCTTCTTTTAGTCCAGTAAATGAGAGCAAATATATCAGGCCCTTAAATTGTCTCTGGAACCAAAAAAAATAGGAAAATATGTTGTTTTTGTCTTTCCATCTGTTGATGATTTTGATGGAGCTGCTGGAAGAAAAAACGGTCCTGCAGTAACTGTTAATCACAGCAGTGGATGATTTGAGGTTACTAGAGCTTTTGATGCGCTAACACAACCTCTGAAAATGTATCCCGTCAGGTCCACATTCTAACTGTAGCGTTCACAGACACTGAACCTAACTTCTGATCACACACACCAACATCAGTCACTGGAGCAGAAAGGGCATGACTTATGAACGATCAGACTGCAATTCAAGCAATACTTGCTTTAAAAACTGTAATTCTAATAAGCCTGAAGAATCAATAGAAGATAGGACTTTTTAAACGAGAGCATGCAAAGCCAGGAGAGCAAGCAGGAGGACAGTGCAGTGACTGAGGGATGAAGAGCAGACATCAAGCATTAAGTGGGACACAAAGCTTGTTACATTCACCTGGAGCTTCATGAAGCCCAGACACATTGTCATAGAAAGAGGCTCTCTGAAACGTCTGAATGTCTACGAGAGAGAAGACAGCAGTGAGAGGGAAAAGAAAGCAGGCAAGCGGACCCAAACACCATCACTGATATTCCCTCACGCATAGATCTGTCGCGATAAACAATAAATCAGTTAATCGCATGATAAATGAAAATTATCGACCTCGTTTTCATTTATCAGTTTTATTGTTTCTTCATGTCTCTCTCTTTCTGCTGAAGACACTGGATGACAAAAAGCTCAACTCCAGTTCTTCACTGACCCCTCACTTTCTATTTTCTCTTTAAAATCGATTTTAATGATCCAAAAACACGATTTTGGATCATTAAAAGCAGCTAAGCTGAGAAGCTAAGCTACGAGCTAAGCGAACAGGCTGAGCTCGGGGAAAAAACCTCCGTCTTGTCGAAGCTTCAAAATTCACAGTTGAAACCTGTGCCTTCATGTAAAAAGTTGTTTTTCTCTGCAAAAAGAAGCTGAGAACTTGTTTACTGATTTTTTAAAATTAAAAGCTTTGTGTGAAAAACACTATGCTAAAGAGCTCAAACCACACCGAGCGTCCGCGAGTTTGAGAACCGAAGAGAGACAGCCTCAATCCCATTTTTCTTTAAGAGACCCGCAGCTCCCTCCCTTACTATCCATCCTTTGGTTCAAACTGTCTTATACTGCCATCTGGTGGTCAAAAAAGGTACTAAATGCAAAACAAAATTAAACATTTCAACTTAATTCAAAAAGCGTTCAATACAAAAATTTCAACTTAAATTTAACAATTACTAGTTATTGTCAAATTTCAAACAATATTATCGTTTACCACAATATTTTTTTAGACAATTAATCGTCCAGCAAATTTTGTTATCGTGACAAGCCTACTTACGCACAAAATTATTGATGCGGCGTTTGTTAGAAAACAAAGGACTGAAGAGGAACAGCTGGTGCATATTTGTAAGATATTATTTAAAGCTTGTGTTATTCATGTAAGATATTAGTCCACAAAGTCCAACATGAATATTTTGCTTTGTTACTTGACCCAAATAAACCTCGCTTCTACTGCAAGCTGTTGTTGTACAGCTCATTAAATAAACTATAAATCCTGCTGATAATACCACCAGGTAGTGTGGTGTGACAGCAGGGCCTTAATTAAATAAAAAATACACAAAGTTATCCTACAGCTTGATGAGAACGGCCTTGATAAATAATAAAATGGTATAATAAAACTATCAGTACTTGTTTTGGAAGCTGAAGGAATGTGGAGTTTTAAGCAATAAGAGACTTACCGTCTTTCCAGAGCTCAGCCACAAATTTATCAGTGGACTGGTGAAGCAGCGTGGCTACATTATCATTCAGAGGATCCATGTTCTTCATCAGCCATTCATCAGCTTTATAGTCCACCTATACAAACACCAGGAATTTTGGATATTATTTTAGCTGTTCTATTACAAAATGTTTCAATTTACTTACATTCATTTCAGATTTTCCAAATGAAATCTTCCAAAATGACACAAATACTGTTCTTAAAGTGTAGTAACCCAGGCTTTGGTAAACCAACAGCATGAACTTTGACCTTTATCCTGTTGTACAGTATGAGATAGGGCTCTTGAGTTTTTGATCCTTTCTCCAAGCACTGCATAGTCTGACTTTGGGGTGACTTTGCTGGGACATCCACACCTGAGAAGACTGGCAACCATCTCAAATGTTTTCCACCGTGAATAATCAATTCTCTCTGTAGAATGATGGACACCAAGTTGTTTGGAAATGACCTTTAACTCTTCCCAGATTTATGAGAAGCAACAGTTTGTTCTCCAAGGTCATTGCTGATGTTGTTCCTTCTTGGTACTGCACTTACAAACACCAGAGCACCAAACTACCAAAACTACTGCATTTCCAAAGGTGATCACACTGATGATGATCAGGTAAACAGTAGAAAGGAACAACAGCACCTGGCTGATACTTTCCCTCTTAAATCTTACAGAAGCAGGAGCGGACTTACTACACAGCTTTTTCATTTTGTCCTCATTTTTGTTTATTAAATAATGACATAGTGGTATCAGTTGTGTTTTTTTTTTAACTTGAGGACAGATGTACCTCGTCTGAAGTGACAAAGACATTTTATGATAAAACAGTTTCACCCAATGCCAGGTGCCACCTCATGTCAGTGAGCAGTTAAACCCATAACCACATCTACTGTTATAGGATTAGACAGATGTAGGACAAACTGACCACATTTCCTCACTTTGTTGCTGTCTTTACACGCTCTACCTGTTTGTATTTGTAACTATTTCTATCTTAACATTTTTTTTGTCTCTCTTCCAATAGAAAGTACAAATGGACCTGTCATTTTGTTTGTTTCTCCTTCCTGTCCTCTCAAACCCAGCCGGTCGAAGCAGATGTCCTCTTGTCCTGAGCCTGGTTCTGCTGGAGGTTTCTTCCTGTTAAAAGGAAGTTTTTTCATTTCCACTGTTGCCTTTGTGCTTGCTCAGGATGAGACTGAGACAAAGTGAAGATTCTACACAATCTGCTGGCTTCTTTAGATAGAGAACTTTTACTAATTTATTTGTGTGTTACTGCTGCAAATAAGTATTTGAACACCTGTGAACATCAATGTTCATATTTGGTACAGTAGCCTTTGTTTGCAGTTACAGAGGTCAAAGGTTTCCTGTAGTGTTTCAGCAGGTGTGCACACACTGCAGCAGAGATTTTGGCCCATTCCTCCACACACATCTTCTCTAGATCAGCCAGGTTTCTGGGCTGTCGCTGAGAAACACAGAGTTTGAGCTCCCTCCAAAGATTTTCTATAGGGTTTAGTTCTGGAGACTGGCTAGGCCACTCCAGAACCTTGATATGCTTCTTACGGAGCCACTCCTTGGTTCTCCTGGACGTGTGCTGATTGAAGCAGGGAAACCTTCTGTGCCATGCATGATTTTAAACCATGATGTCTTAGTGTATTACCCACAGTAACCTTGGAAACAGTGGAGCCAGCTCTCTTCAGGTCATTGAGCAGCTCCTCCCATGTAGTTCTGAGCTGATTCCTCACCTTTCTGAGGATCATTGATACGCCACTTGCATGGCGCCCAAGTCCGAGCGAGATTGACAGTCGTGTTTAGCTTCTTCCATTTTCTAATAATTGCTCCAACAGTTGATCTTTTTTCACCAAGCTGCTTGGCAATTGCCCTATAGTCCTTTCCAGCCTTGTGGAGGTCTACAGTTTTGTCTCGGGTGTCTTTGGACAGCTCTTTGGTCTTAGCCATGTTAATAGTTGGAGTCTTACTGATTGTGTGGGGTGGACAGGTGTCTTTATGCAGCTAACAACCTCAAACAGGTGCTTCAAATTTAGAATAATAAGTGGAGTGGAGGTGGACTTTTAAAGGAGGACTAACAGGTCTTTGAGGGCCAGAATTGTTGCGGATTGGCACGTGTTCAAATACTTATTTGCAGCAGTAACACACAAATAAATTATTTAAAAAATCAAACATTGTGATTTCCAGATTTTTTTTTAATTTAGATTATGTCTCTCACAGTGGACATGCACCTAAGATGAAAATTTCAGACCCCCTCCATGATTTCTAAGTGGGAGAACTTGTAAAGTCACACGGTGTTCAAATACTTATTTTCCTCACTGTATTTGCATAATGCATGTAAGTTGGTGGCAAAGTTAGGATTTTTAAAGCCTTACAAATTAAATGTGCTTTTCAAATATCTGGGAGTTGGATTAACAAAGAATAGAAGAGAAGATACGGAGTGGTTTAGGAACCTGAGAGGCTAAATATACACGTGGATTTGATCAGAATTCTGGAAAAGCAAACCCCTTAATGTTTGCCTTTTTTCATCTTCAGTATCCCTGTCATGCTGGATTTATTTTTTTGAAATCCCAATATAATCCTGGATCCAACTATCTGAACTTATTTGTGATGATAGATCAGGCCCAGGACTAAATGTTCTCAGAGTTTTCAAATACAGATGAAAAAAGGAAAATAAATAAAATGAACTGGTAGACCATAATTAAACTACCGCTCGAGAAGTAATAGAATATTTCATTTGGTGACTGACAGGGGACTTCTTAGGAATGTTGTGGAGGATCGCTTTCTCTTTACGCGTGCCAGACCTCCTCAGGAAGGTGAAAGTTGGACATTTCAGTTATGTAACCAGCAGGCATCAGGAACTCAGTCTCGCACCAATCTGAACCAGATGTGGGTTTCCTGCAGCAGCAGCACAACTGAGCCTTTGTTTTTCTGCTGTGACCTGAATAAATGAACTCCGACAGAGGTGCAAAGTTTGTGCCGCTGAATAAAATCAGGTCAGGAGCAAGGATGTGCAAAAAAACAAAACAAAACAAAAAGGTAAAATCTCAGCATAAGATAGGAACAAAAATAAAGTTTTTCAAAATGTATTCATATTAAAGAGAGAAAAAGAAGCGGTGGTACTTTATTGTGCCTGATTAACATACCTTCCCTGCGTAGTGAATGATGCAGAAGTCAGCTTTGTCCTTGAGTTGGCGTGGTTTCTGAAACTTGGAGTGTGTACCCAGCTCCTGCAGGACTTTATCTACAAACGTCTTGTCTGTGGCCTTGGGAAACCAGCACTCCTCATCAAGCAAAGCGAGGATTCCTGGGGGGTTATTCTGAGGAAATTCATTTTGTTAAAAGAAGGATATTGATGAAGAAGACGCACACATGTGGAAAGAGGTCACTGACCGGCCTCTCGATGAGGTCGATGCAGGGCTGCAGGTCGAGGCCGAAGTCGATGAAGCTCCACTCGATGCCCTCCCTCTGGTACTCCTCCTGCTCCAGGATGAACATGGTGTGGTTGAAGAGCTGCTGCAGCTTCTCGTTGGTGTAGTTGATGCACAGCTGCTCGAATGAGTTCAACTGAAAAGACAAATCAGAATTCAAGTTAGTCCTGCCAAACTCTTTCTTTTACACAAAAAAAAATACATCCAAACGTGCAGCTCTAGCAGCAAAAGTGTTTTTATTTTGTGTGGCTGTGTAGACAAAATATGCAAAAAAAAAAACAAAAAAAAAAACTTTTCCTTCCTTGGTTTTCTAAAGCTTAGTCAAACTTATAAAAACCAGCATCCATCAGAGTTTAAACAGGTCTCAGAAAGCTAGACTTCACATAAATAAAGTTTCACATTGTAAGTTTTGAGTTGAGCTATCTAAACAATCTAATTATTTTGCAAACAATGTGTTTTTACTCCCAAAAACTTTACTCTTCTTAGAGTACATACAACAAAAAGTAAACATTTTTCTCTTCTATCACCAGAGTGCAGAATGTGCACATCTAAACTCTCAGAAATTTCTCATCAAAACTGGATGTGAGGGATCTTTTTCATCTGTATCTCCTACATAAAATACTGTAGTCACATAAAATTGATCCATTTGATTTGATTCTACCCCATGCAGTTCAGGGTTTTTTTAATACAACTTACGGGTTTACACTGTGACTGTCTGAGGCCTAATTTCCACTGTGCTTGTCTGCCCATTTAATTAAGAGGCTTGAAAAAAAGAGTTACAGCCATATTTTTATACATCAAAATGTTCAAAGTATTATTGGTCAATATAGAAGAAAACTGATGGATGCTGGGATTTTAAGCAGTAGCTGCATTGGAAACAAAACTCCAGCTACATTGTGCTTTATGGAGAAAGATTCATTACTAATAATGCAGCAGGATCAACACCTCAAATATCTCAAAGCCAGCAATGTCCAGGATGCCAATGAAAGAGGCCCCCTGCCGTTTGGTCCGGTCCAGGGCCTTGTTGATGCGGTGGACCAGCCAGCGGAACAGACGCTCATATGTCGCCTTGGCCAGGGCTTCAACAGCAAAGTCAGCCTAGGTTACAAAACACCACAGATATAAGACACCATTAATAATGCATGACTCGTAGCATTATGAGCACAATTTGGGAATTTAAACCCTGAAATGTAGTTAGACTATAGAGAGTTGAGATTTAGTCTCGGTAAGACATCAGACAGTCTGACAACAAGCAGGACGATCCATCAGCCAGACGGTGCAGGTGACCTGTCCAAACATGTGTTACAAATTTGCAAAATGAAATGGTCTCAACAGAACTACAAAAAGCATGAACTGGAACTTGTGTTCTCATGTTTAACAAGTGAAAGGTTGAAAGCCCATACATTAAGTGTGAGGCAATAAATAATGTGAAGTTTATACTGTTTGGCTACTAATAATAGAAAAGGGTTGATCGTAAAAAAAATAAAATAAAATACATTAAAAAACTGATTTGAAGTTACTTTATCGTACCTTTCTCACACATCTCTTGGATCGTAATATAAAAAATAATATCAGGGTTAACTGGGCCTAAATCATAAAAGTTACACAGAACCTCACCTGTTCTTTGGTCTGTGCCTTTTGCACATAATCTCGTCCTACTTTGATCCGTGGGGTGAGGATAGCTCGGGTGAACTCCATAACGTTCATGCCAAGCAGGTGGCAGAGCTTCTGAGCCGCTGAGAGAAGAGAACAAAGCATGTAACTTATTGTCTGAAAGAAATGTGGACTGTTTATGAGTAAATAGTGTAAAACATTAGGATTCACCATAGCATCTTGTAATTCTAAGGCTTTGTTCAACAGATTTAATTAAAAAGCTTGTGGAAAATGATTTTGCAGATTTAGCAAATTCCCAAAATGGATCAAGCATTTAATTTATCTGATAGTTTTGAGAACAATGTGTTAGAGATCTGGTCTGAAACGGCTAATATATGTGCACATTGCATTTTTACCTGTGTTCTCAGGCATGGAGGCTTGATCAGTGTTCCTCTCCTTTTTGAAGACAACGTTTCCAAATTGCAGCACCGCAGAGACCACCTTCAGCATACCTGGTGAATTCAGGACAAATTTAAATGCAATCACCTCCCAAAAGAATTAGGTAATGCAGAAGAAGAAAATCGACTGAACTGGAAGAGTGCATATTTGGAAGCAGTACTCACAGACGATCTCATCGTGAGAGAATCCCATGATGTGCATGGCGTCCATCGTCTCCTGGAAATTCTCCTTGTCTTGTTGGCCCGGGATGGGAATGTTGCCGTTTGACAAGAAACGGTAGTTGTTAAAACCCTCCAGAAGCAGGTCCGCTAAAAAGAGAAAGGAAATAAAAGTGTTTTTGATAAAGAGTTGTTTTTTTTTAAACAAAGACTACTATTTACCAGTTCTTCTATCGACTAGTCTTTGTCCTTTTAGGTTTTTTTTCTTTTCTTTACGGTATATGTGTTTTGCTGCACGTTTGAACAATTTCAGTGTATACTGTATGTTTTGAAAGGGTTCCAGTACTAATACAACTTTCTGAACAATACAATTAAAACCACTTCAATTTTATTTTTAAATTTTGATTGTTAAAAACAACTATGTGAACCTCATAGTGCCACACCAATTAAACAGTGTCTCATTGACAGTTTGCTTCTATTTAAATGGGGTTTTATTCCTACATTTACAAAAAAAAAAAAGTAAAAAGCAGGTTCAAATGATGGACATGGAGCAATAAACAGACACTGTGCAGTCAGTGAATCAGGATTTGTTTGATATGTTAATCAAGCATCTGAAAGCAAACATTTAAGTAACAGAGGACTCAGGTGACCTTTAGGATGCACTTGTTTCTATTAACGTTGTGTCTTTACATCTCTGTATCTTCTGCAGCATCTTGAAATAATATGCCGATGAGCTAAATCAAACAGACTGTTTTGCACTTGTTCTCATCTAACCCAGCTGTCCTAAACTCAGTCCTTTGCCTTCAGCACATTGCCTAAACATTGCTTTGATTTTTTTTATACTTTTTTTTTTCTTTAGTAAGATCCAGACACTCACTTCGAAGATGCTCTCCAGCTCCTGCCAGCAGGCGGTAGAAAATGTGAAAAGTCCTCTCGTCTTTTGCCTGTCGGATGGCTCTAGACTTCTCCAGAAGATCTGACGCGAAAAGTTAAGGACTGGTTGGAACAACGAAGAAACTCCAAACACAGAAAAATAATTTCAATAAAAACCATGAACAACAGAAACAATGGTATACACATGGTTTACAAAACGAAAAAGCAACTTTATTTTTAAAAAGCACACATACAATGCATACAAACTAGCAGAGGATCAAATCTATGCTGTTTGAACTTTGTCATGACAAATAATCACTTCCTCTATATATTTTCTACTAATTTCTTACCGGTAATAAAAAGAAAACAATAAACGTTCTATTTTATAGCTCAGCATGTTCTGACTTTATGTGGGAAACGTGCAGGATGGCGATTACGTTCGTATGGTGTGGTGAGTTCTAAAACCATCCTGTTGCTCTGTAAACCCAGCGTGCCCTATCATTTAACATTATTTCATGTGCTTAACACTAATTCATCATTCTGTTCTTCATTTAGCCCAAGGAGGATACAGGTTTCAATGTTGGCCCCAACGATGTATCCTGTGACGTCAAAGTTGATTCTGATGAACTTTCCCTGCAGGAAATAACAGAAAAACTTCAGATTAATAAAAAAAAGAATAAGAAACTATATTTGTGCAAATGTGAGGGTACACGTTTGCAGCTGTTTTCCTCTCTTCAGTCTCAGCTTCAGGTTACATAAAAACTTGTGGTTTCTACCAGATGACAAGAGAAGTAAGGAGTAGGATGCCTATATTAGGAAGTGCCAGGTCAACATGTCAAAAAAGAATCTGAGGCATGTCTGTGGTTTCCTGACAGCAAATTGTGTGCAAGTGTGTGAGAATATGTGCACCCATCTGGATGCTGGTATCAGACCCACCTGTGATTAATGTGGACCGGAACACCCCGGTGTTTAATCCTGACTACATGTTTTACTTAGTCACGAAGAAACGCCAAGTGCTCAGAGCGAAGACTGCTGTGATTAGGCTAACCCAAACCTGCATTTTGTGTGCATCAAATTTTACCAAAAATCCACCAATAAACCTTCAAAAGCTTACAATTTTGGTTTTACAGTAGATATGTGCCAGACTAGATAATTTCCTGGCAGAAAACTGTAACTTCCTGCTGGTTTCATGAGTTTGGAATGGCAAGACTTAATTATTAAGCTTAAGAAGTGCAACTAGATCTTTTTTGGACTTTCTGCTAAGCTCACCCAGTAGCTGTGGATTCAAATTCATCCCAAGTTCATATTCAGCTTTTCACTACGATGACATTTAGTCTTTTCCTCTACTTTTTAACCCCTTTTCAGATTCTTTTGACTTAAACTCAAACGGTTCAACTCACAATAATAAAGGAAAAAGTAGGATTTCTAAATAAAACAAGAAAGAAATATCCAAGTCTGTGATAATTGAGGCCCATTATAAGATTTGAAGTTCAAAAACTGAACTGGAGCGGCAACAAAGATTCCCAACATACACAAACTAATCTTGTGGAGGTGAAAAATCTATTCCCTGCCTGGATAATGTTTGGGAATATGTTTAAATCAAGAGAGGTATCATTGGAAAAGAGAATGTAAACTCACAAAGCGAGACGAGTTGTCATTTTTCACTGTCTTGGCATTGCCAAAAGATTCAAGGATGGGGTTGGCTTGCAAGAGCTGCCGTTCCAGTTCCCCCTGTGAAGAAAGACGAGGAGGAAAAACGGTGTTGAAAACATTTTTAAGTCTTGGTGCTATGCAAGGGAATCTTTCATTAATAGCTTTTTCAAACATATTTTTATTTGGTTACTTCAAAACATACTTAAGCAATCGAAGCATAATCAATTAATCATAACAGCAGATAAAAAAGAAGCCATGCCATTTTGTTAAGGTATTTTTCAGACAGTCAGCAATCCTTCACGGTTCTGTTGACTTTTTCTTGAGTCAGCTGCAGACTGAAATTGACCATTTTAAGAGCCAAGACAACCAAACAGTTGGAGAAACCTTGTGAAACAGGAAAGGTGATAAAGTGAGCGTGTTGTTGCCACATGTTGGAATAGAAAAGTTCATATCGACATGTGAGAGCTTTCTTCTGGCCGTCACATTGTAAACATGTAACCTACAGTTTGTTAAAAGTACCCAAAAGACAGTTTGATATGTTCCTTCAGAATCCTAAAACTTGAATTGTTGAATATTAAAGCTCCTAAAATGTTAAATTATTTATTAAATAACACAATTTCATAACAAGAGAATTAATTTTAATAAGCAAAAGTGCATCTGGTGTTTTGATTTTATAGGGGTTTTTTTAAGGGGGGGGGGGGGGTCTTGTTCAGGTCAAGTCCATCAATTCTTGACCTGAATAATCACAAAAAAATGTGATTTCAACAAGGTGAGAAAACAAATAGACATTTTGTGTTGTAAGACTTGGCCCAGCGTGGGTTGGCACAGCCTGGGTTCCAGCCCTGGTTCTGAGTTTTCTGAGTGGACAGTTCGGCCCACTTACAGGTCATTTTTTGGGAACCCAGAGACACGGGGTTGAATGGGGGCTGGAGCCAAAGTTTGACGTAAGCAGACTGCAGGCCATGGATTGGTTCACTGTCTCGGGTTGACTGTAAATAAGCTAGCATTAGCTGGCATTAGCTTTCCTTCCTATGACCTCATGCACTTCTGCCACTGCATGATACAGCTGTATGGCCTCATAGACTCGTGTATATTTCTGCTGCGTTTCATCTAGCAGCAAGCAGCTTTCTCTGGCTCTGTTTTAACTTGTTTTGATGAGAGAAAGAATGATGAACAATCAAGGCTGTGCAGACCTGGGCCGGGTCATCCAGGGCTGGACCAGACCTTACAATTTAAAAATGCCAAAAGTCCAGAACATTTGAATCTGCCTGAACAAACATTTGGATCTTCCATGCATCTATAGCATACAGTACATTATTGCAAAAAATAAGCACACATAAGGTTGTATATATATGTGTGTTTGTACTGTATATAAATATTTAATAAAGGAAATTATTTATGCATTTGTGCAGTTTGCTACGTTTAAATATCTTGATACCATGGATGTGGCCACCATCCGATCAAATAGCTTATATTTTCTTTTTTTATTTTTCCATTTTGGTACTGAATAAATAAATATGATCCATGCTGGCAAAACAAGCCACAATTAGGATGTTTTCAATGTTGATTTATTATTATTATTTTAAATGTCAAAAGTTTCTAAAATGATTCGAGTTTGTTGAAATTTGGTGATTTATCACCTGGCTAGCAACAAGCTAGTTTTGTTTAGTTCCGGTTTGAAAACTCAATATTTATTGATCTGGAGTGATGTCACTGAGAAGTAAATCTCTATATTTAAGAAAGGGAATCTCCAAGCTTCACAATGACACCAAATATTATACGAAGGGATTTCTATGTGCTGTGGCAGCTAGCAGTATATTTTACATAATTTTTTGTTTGTCATTTAACCGTAAGTCACTTTGATAAAAAGGACTACTGCAAAAAATTCATTTTTCCCTTTTCAATATATATTTCAGGCAACAGTATGTTAAATTTTACTTTTATTCAAATTAATTTCTGGTGATGCCACTGGTTCATTTTTACCTAAAAGCAAAAGCTCATCAGAAAACACACTTCCTGCAGCTGGATTCATTAACTTGTTATTTTTGTTTTGTTTGTGTTTGTCTAGTTATATTTCAGGTTTTCTGATGCATATTTTTGTATAAATCATTTTCACAATGATTATCTCACTGAAAGAATTTTTAAAACTTGGGCTACTTCTAGTCTGCTTTGTTCCTTCACCTCTTTCCTCCTCAGTTATCTCCTTTCATTCACTTCTCCTGAACGATTTCCTTGCTCTCCTTCAATCCCTGACCCTACATTCCTCTGGCTTGTGCACAGAGGCAGCTGTAATGCGAAGCAGGAGAAGGCAGCGTTGCGGAGCTCAGTGTGGATGATGCGGTCCAGGCCAGGAAGCGCTGAGCCACTGACATCACTAACTCAGGTACGGAAAAAATTGGCACATTAGCCAGAAATCTCCTCAGACTGTCTGTGCTCAATGACTTTGATTATAGAACTCATAAATAACTCCTCCTGCTTCTGCATTTATTAGGTCTTCAGTTGACGGAGAAACATCAGGAACTGATTTGGAGGAAAAAAAACAGCAACTGGATGAATCTAGCAGAGAAGAGGTAAGTTTGAAGAGATGAATGGAAAATAAAATCACATCAATAGAGTCTGAATGGATTTATTTAAACTACAGACATGCATTTAAAGTGTAAACTCGTAAAAAAAACATGCAGAAATATGACAGATTTTATTTTTTTATTCTTAATTTGCAATAAAAATAACTGTAAAAGTTTTTAAATGAAGCTGAAGGAGAGATGTTTAGTGTGGCTGTGTCTAACAACACGGGCTGCACAGCCATTAGGACTTCATGAACAGCTTTTATTGCAGGTATTTGACATGTGTTTCTGATGAAGCATCTCAGTTTCCAAGTGTTTTAACAGACCCCGACCCAACTGATTAAACTTTTGCGTGATGTTAGCATGAGCCTGCTGGTTTAACGGCAGATTCACTGGGTTTTGAAGTGAGAAGCCAGAGCCAGCACAAACACATACCTCACAACCTCATCGTTTAGATTAGTCAGTCGGCATCGTTATGGAGGCGGCAGAGATTCAAGAGAAGGGCATGCAGATGAACACAAACATCAGAAATGGACCATACACTTAAGTGGGAGATACACTTGCCTGTAGCTTGAATGCATTGGGAGATTCGGGCTGTTTGTTATAGATAAACAAATGAAAGTGTTAAAAACCGAAGCGCTGATGTTGGACACAAGCAACAAGAAATACAACACCAGTATGTACTGGGCCAACACTGGATATACTCTCACAAAAAGACACTCCTTGTGTAAGATGTATATTACAACAATACAAAAGTCTGCTATCAAAACTAAGATGATTGCTTCAGGTTTAATTAGAACAGTAACAAGAATAAAACAATTTACTAGTTTTATATTATGGGAAATATGTGGTTTGCCCTAAGGAAGCAAATTAGACGACAAGACTCACCTAGTATGGGTCATATTGAAATATTGATAACCTTGAGCAAAAATACCACTGTTTCACTGTATTAACAATACTTTAAAGATCTGACCTGGACACCCTGGACAGGTCAAGATCCATCACCAGGCCACATAAAGACAAGTACACAAACACCCGTTCACACTCTCACTCACACCTAGGGACAATTTAGAGTTCCCAATTAGTCTAACATGCATATTTTTGGTCTGTGGGAGGAAAATGGAGTACTCTGAGAAAACCCACATATGCAAACTCCTCCTAGAAAGGTCCCAGCATGGGAGACGATCCTTCAGTCTTCTCGCTAAGTGGCAACAGCATCAACCAATACCACCATACCACCCCAACTTAGTTTTTTTTAAATACAGTACTATGAAATACTATGTTATTTTTTTCTCAAGGTAATCATAGCATCAGTATTTCAAACTAGCCCATGCCTACACATATTCATACAAAGATAGCTGTAAAATTATACTGCAATAAGCTAAACTAGTTAGCAGCTTATGCTGTATGTGTTAACATTAAAACACACAATGAAAGTGGTATCAACAGACATTTTTAACTGCATCAATAACGTAAAAATCAATCGCAAAGATCAATGCATTTTAACTTAAAGGGAGATGCAATTGAGTATGGTAATTTAATATAGGATTTTTTTTAGACTTGAAAATGAGAGCTGGAAAAAGAAGAGACAGTGGGTAAATTGTAAGCAGAGGGGCTCACAGGAATGTTGTGGTCCTTGCGTCCTTTATGCGAAGAGGCAACATGTGCCAGATACTGGATGACCTTTTTTGTGTTCTCAGTCTTGCCAGCTCCTGATTCACCTCTGAAAACAAAAAGTTCAGTCAACAACACGGTGAAAAACAGGTCAGTAAAAAAAAGGAGAGAAATTACAGTAAAACGTTTGTTATTGAAAAGAATAATTATCATTGATTTGTGAGAAATAACCACTTTACAAGATATAAACTATATAAATTGTCCTAATGTTAATAGACAACAGTAAAACCATAACCAAGATCAACCTTAATTAGCCTAATTTTGGTCAGGAGTGATAGGATGACTAGAGTAGTGATGAAAGTGAGTGAAAAGCCATAAGGCTGTATGTTGTTGGTTTTTATATCTATCCATTGTTTGTCAGTGGGTTTTCCTGGAGAATGCTGTGGTCTGTTAAGCCAGTTTCCAAAATTTCCAGGCCCAACTTTTGGGTTTTGTCTAATGATAGCCATGAAAGGCAGGGCCTTCCACAGCTCCCCCAGTCGGGTCCTGGTGCCCAGAAAACATGGTCCAACAGCTAAACCAGGCCAGCAAAAGTACATTGAGCTACATACCTGTGGCTTTACTGTAGCTGGTCATTAGCTTTACTGCACTTAGTTCACTGTGGTTTCACATGCTGCACTAGAATCAGAGGCGAGTCCTCGAATGCAGATTACAAGCGTAAAAATATAGGTCAAATAGGCCCAAATCGAGAAAAAAAAAGTATTTCAACAGAAAAATTACAATTATACAATAACAATGGTGTTGGAATTACTTTCAGAGTTGTTTGAGCAGTAAAAACTTTGACAGCCAATAAAAATGCACAGAGATTGCACCCTGTCCGAGCTACAAGCCTCAGCTCCACATTTTCTTAAAACTGTTCACATTTTTATGGTAAACATGTATAAAAATAAATTATGTGCCCTACTTTATTGAAGTTGCCTGCCTGGTTGGACTACATCTCTTATCTGAGCCAATAATGATGTAACGCTGTTTTTTCTAAAATCCCCCAGTCTAAGCTATAAACAAACACCTAATAAACTTTAATTTAAAACATAAAGTGGCAAATAATTGCACAAAATAAAGAATTAACTATGATGCCAAGCTATTTTTGAGATTCCTATTTTTTATTTCCTTTACAGTTTTTCTCCCTGATGATTAACAGGCTATTGTAACGTAACAGGACACAATCAAAATGTAAAAGGTTAGCTCGTCTTACATAGTGAGACATTCTCACAGCTCTTCTGGTCTTTACCTAATTTTGTAAACTTAAATCCTCCTGGTCGACAACATTCAATAACATACAGTAGTAGCAGATCATTATTTTTCATTTTGAGGCCTGGATACCCCTGGGATGCTTGGCGCCACCGTTTAGGTTCCCTTCATACAGGATAATGACTCTGATACTCTCTCCAAGACTTACACATCCTGTTTTATGAACGTGCTTTCACCACAGCAAATTTGGAAAACGTCCCTTATTTTGAAGGCAATTGTGATGCTGTCATGCTCTTAAGACTCACTAAACAGGTTTTTCTGCTATTTTCTGTGTCCCTGAGAGGCTCTCAGGTGCCGCTCACCTCCCTCAGTTCGCCCACCATGGCATGACTGTTTCAGGATGTAACTAAACGCCATCCCATCAACTCCCACACATCAACTTATATAACTAGAAATGGGATCAGAAGTGGAAGTTGAAGCCGCAAAGGAAAGTTCTCAATAGTAGGCTGGCTGCAGTACAACTTTTAACTCCTGCCCCTCCATGTGGGATATTTTCCAGTCTAAAAACAAAAATACGCTTGCAATAATTTTTTTTCAAATGCTGCTTGCTGTTGATTGCATTTTGTTAAATATTTGTAGTTACAATGAGGTCTTTGAGGCTAAAAGAAAAGTGTTGTGTTGCACGTTGATTGGCAATGTGACAACCTGTTTTGAGTTCAGAGAATGTGTAGGCGAGACTTTTGTATTTATAGCAAAGCCACACATCCCTCATGCACAAACTTTGGCTCCAAAACAATATGGCAGCACACAGTAAATGGACATGTTGACTTCAGTTTTAGACAATTAAAGTTAATGGTGTTGTTTCCTCCATATTTATTCATATTGATGATCTGACCACCCCAGCATGAAGCTACCACCACATGTGGGCATGATGAGTCATAGGCCAGCATGGCCAGTCCTGCTTCTAATTGTAGATGACCAAGCCACAGCACCAGTCCCACGTTCTGGTCATGCAGCTACTACAATGATAAACCACTTGGACCTCTTTACTAAAGTTTTGGGCAGGCTCATAACCCTCCACAATCCATCATGCTCTATCACATGTAATATAGTGTCCACTGTCTTCTTAATACACCCATGACAGTCACACCGAAACATTACTGGTCTTGTGTGAATATTTAGATATTTACTTTGTTAATTGAAACAACTTGTTCTCTGCTGTTTTTCAGGTTCTTGCAGTATTAGACCATTTGTACCAGACACGCATAAAGCTCGACTTTTTGCTAAAGAATTAGATTAGCTCTGTCATGACGAAGGTTTATTTTCTGTTAATAGTGAGGTTATTTGTTGTTGATGTTTTGTTGGGATTTATTGTGTTTAGTATGTTTCTGTTAGATTCCTTTCCATCATCTTATGTTCAGCTCCTCATTACTTGCCTGTCCCTCATTTTCTAATTACCCTCAGCTGCACTCACTCAGTAATTACTTCTTCCTGCATACTTATACTCCCAGACCACCTTTAAGTCATTGTTCTGTCATACTGTTTGCTTTCTTGTGTTGTCAGCTCTTTGGTTTGTTCATGATGCCTTTAGTTAGTTGTGTGCTCCCTGGATTTTGTGTTTTTAGATTCTGCTGACCCATCTATTTTTTGGAATGTTAAAAAGTTTCAGGTTTTTCTCCTAATGTCATGTCTACAGGTCTGCATCCTGGGTACTGAAAGAAATATAGTTCAATGATGCTATAATGAACTACTAAACCTTATAGTCTTTTTGTAATGCTATGCAGTATTTAGCCAGTGTGGACATAAGATTTTCAAACAATGTTTTTAATTTAAAATTCTACTTTCCCAGACACCTCTTTGTCATAAACTAGGATGCATTTTTTTTTTCTGTTTTGTAAAGGTATTTTTGTGAAGAAGAAAAGCAAAACTGTTTAATCATCACCAACAGGGGGTGGAATGTGCAGCAAGCTCTTCACGACAACCTCAAATCCATGCTACACTGAAAGAGTGTGGCACTTAATTACTCTCTGACGTAAAGGATGAAGGCAGGCCACCAAACCACACTCATAACTCCCTCAGTATTTGGCAGAGCCGCTGTGCAGGCCAGCATCCGCAAAAAGCTATTTGTAACTAGTCTTTAAATAAAATGCAGCCGGGTGATGGGAGTTGGGCAACTGACTCATGATGACAGAAACATTGAAATGGGGAAAAAAAGGCTTTACAAAGATAAAAGAAAAAGAAAAAACACACTTGAAAGAAGGAGAAAGAAAAGCAAGAGGCATGATTTTTATCAAATGCTCTTATGAAAACTGTTATGTTCAAGGACAAGACAGGGTTTTTAAGTAACATATACATTTAATTTTCAGACAGTTTCATTTATTAGCCCACTGAGCTGCTATATCACTAGAACCACTTAGGAACAAATGAACAATCTGTCTTAAGGAATGACCTTAATAGAAGAATAGAAGAGAAGAAGAAAGAGAAAGCTAAAGTAAAACTTGTGGTACTTACGTGCAAAGGATTGATTGGTCCTCACGATCTGTTCAAAGAAAAAAGATCAGTCAGCATGTTTCAGAAGTTTTTTCCTCCTGCAATTTAACGATATAACAAAGATGATCTCCACTAGTAAAATAGTTAACACATAATAAAATAAAATGCTATGTGACTATTTTATTTTAAAAATTCACCAGTGATGATTTGCTTGGCAAGGCCACAGCTGCTGATATTTTTCCTAATGACATGTCCATAATATGACTATATTAAACATTAGTTCATGTATAGCAAAGTAACCATAAATGGGTCTGTTGGGAATATATTTGGTACTTATTCCAAAACTTGCCACATCCAGATTACTCTGCTCTGCCATGCTGTGCAGTGACCCCAAAACTGACACCCAAAGTGGTAACCAAAACCTTTAGAGCTTCATCACTGAGGAATTAATCCCAAGTCCAGATGGTAGGTTTGGTTTTACCCTCTAAAGTGGGTGACCTCTCAACTTTGAAAGGCCTCCAGCACTCAACAGTGAACTTTAAAGGTGACATCAAACAAAGAACTGACATGTTTAGGATCTACAAGATCCTTTGGAACATGCAGGACAGTGGCCCACAGTGGCAGACAGTTTCTTACAATGCTACAAACAACCTAATGTTAAAAAAAGTTGTTTATTACACATTTTACACTTTATGCTTGTAGATTGGGGAAATTTGCTTTCTGAAAGTGTTAGCTAAAGCCATTTTCTAAATATTTTGTTACAAAAGACATAATATATTATATATGCGCATGTACTGTACATAAGGGTAAAACTTTTTTTGTCACTAAACTGACTACTTGTGTTGTATTGTTTTAAGTCTCCTTCACACTGGTTAACAATTGCACTGATATGTATAAAAACAGGTTATGGTCTTAAGCGGCATATTAAGACCAAAGTGGGCTCCCCATTATACGTCATGATATGTCGTGGAGGATTTTGAGCATTTCTAGCAAGGTTGTGATGGTTTATTATTGGAGGGTCCTGGGTGTAGTGTTGATTAAAAATGTAGAGCCTGCTTGGTTTGGTTGTTCAGTATTTGAAGCAGGACTGGCCTCTCTGGTCTCCTGCCTAGGCTTTGGCTCCGATTCTAACAAGGTCATGGGAACAACTCAGTACAGACTGTGGGCAATGATTTTTGAATAATCTTTGATTATTCAAAATAAATGAATAATTACCAAGCAATTTCAAAAAGGTTTTTGCTTGAAACAGCCATCTTTAGTGCAGACATGATACCTACAGCGGTAGCTTCCTGCTAGCATAGTGTAAGCAGTACATGGTTGGTGAAGATGCAAAAGGGCACTCTGGGTGCACTGAATAAAGCAGCTAAAAAACAATTTGGCGTCTACCAAGAGTGCAGCTGCATTTGTGCTTGCCTTTCACTAAAGGATGTTTTCCAAATTCCAGCCATGTTCTAATAGGTCATGAAGTGTAAAGGGGCACTGCATGGGAACATATATGGATCCAAAATAGAGGCGAAAGCTCATCAGACACTTCCAGTAAAAAATGTAGTGTTTTTCAAACAGTGTTGCCAGGTCTCACGATAGAAACAAGCAACCAGCTCTATGAAAACAAGCCAAAAAATAAGCACAACTGGCAACCCACCACATTGTGTAAAACAGATGCAGTTTTTAAACTGTATAAACATACATTTATTATGGCATTACATATAAACAACAGCAAAATTACACTAAATGCTTTGAATAACATACTTTTAAGCTTTGATTAAAAAAAAAGCATTTTGCGTATGTAATTTTTCTACATATTTTTAGAAACAAAACATCCTGACATCTGAGTGTGAGTGAAGCCCCCTAGTGGTCAGCCACAGTATGAGTGTTTGTTTGGGTGGGCGCCTGTCGCCTCGCCAGGTTGGGCGGGAGCGATAAACAGGAAATGGGGACGTGGAAGGGACAAACTACCTACTACCACTCGTCTTTTGCTTTATTGTGCGGAGCTGGGACATAATCAACTAGTTTCACTCGGAAAGAAAATCACGCCCAAATAAGCAACTTCATGTTCAGAACAAGCCCCAAAAAAACGCAACCTGCGACTCACAAGATTTGAAAGCGACTTTAGAAAAATACAAGCCCAAAGTCACTTATAATAGGTGGACTTGGAAACACTGTTTTCAAACCGTTTTGAATGGTTCTTACTGTTTTTAATGTTTATCCATTAACTTTCCATACTTAAATATTGCATGGTTGAAACATATATTATGGATTGTAAAATCTTTAACCTATTTGAATTAAATAAACAACAAAAGACGTTTTTCACCAGGCTTGAACCAAATTGTTACACAACAAAACCAAGGCCAATATGCTTCATTTTTAAAGAAAACACCCCATCTGTGCCAACTAAAAACACTTTTGCATGTTTCTTTTCCCAAAAGTTTGGGAAATTTGACTAACATAGAACCAACAATGAAACCCGTTTTTCTATAAATGTAGTTTACATAATTATTTTTTTTATTTACAGTTAAATGAGGAGCAAGTAGCTGTTTTCTATAAGTGCAATATTCAACCACGTTAAGTGAAAAGTGACGCGCAACATCAATACATTTTTCTTAAATAGTAAAAATGACCTCACCACGTGCGTCAACGTATGCCAGAAGCTAAACACATGTGGGCTATTCATTACAAATACCTTGCTACTTACACATTAGGGTATCAGCACACATATCCAAACACACCTGAGATGACAGGCTTAGAGTTGAGGTAAAAACATGTTCTTTAAAAAAGCTGCTTTGTCTAAAAGGGTTCATGTAAAAGGCTGGGTACAGAAAATGACCTCACGCCTTGTTGATTTGGGTCAGTTTTCACAGATGGCTCAGACGGCCTTCAGGTGCTATCTTTCACCAAATAAATTACCTTTTGTTCAGGTGTCAGTGTTCACTGTGAAGCTGTAGACAACTACCGGTACATTTGCTTGGGTGTGTGTATCTAAGGGTTTTTTTGGTTTGTTTGTTTTTAGACTCATATTAAAGTTATTGTGAATGCAGATGGTGTCTAGCATCTACACAAAATCAGAAGTAAAAAATGTGCTAAATATGGATAACAGTGTGAATAATGCATGAGCTGCTCATTTCAAATGTTCCTTTCTTGTTTGATGAAGAGGCTTCTTTGTATAAAAATGTTTGATTACTTTTCCTGTTTCATGTTTGAGAGCCAGATCTACACAGACCTGATGCTTATCAGACAAAGCTAGAACTGTCACAAAACCACAAGTCCCATCAGACAACAGCATGAAACAATAAGTAACCACCGATGAAGAATAAAATCAAACACGCACTCACTATACAGCTTAAAGCATCATCAGCTCAGATTAACAGGATTAAACAGAGTTTGATGAGTGACCTCCTGCTTGTTCTTCTGACATCACCACATATCTACAATCTTAAAAGGATGACAAGAAAAACTGGTAAAAAGCAATGTGTCATGATCACCCTTACCAATCTGCATAACACTACTAGTACTAAAGACCTAGCATTCTAGAAATAAATGTATATTGCCTGCCTACTGTCATGTCAGTTTTAAATTGAGCTCATTTCATGTTGAGAAATGACAATTGTCATTTTGATCAAACCTTAAAAAAAGGTTGTGTGTGATCTCACATTCAGGGGATGCTGAAATAACTTAAATTACATGGTTATTGTGACCACTGATATTTAATGGCAGTGATGTTAATATAATTTGTAGTTTGATATTTGATTTTTGCTACAAACAATCACAAAACTGGATTAAAATAAAGTTTTTGAGAGTGTGCTGTCGTGCTTCGAAAGTGCCGCAGCTCCTAAAATTCACAGCAATGTAAAGGTTTGTAACCTTTACACGAAGCTCCATCAAATTCCATAACTCCACTTTAAAATATCAGAACAACTGCTTAGACAGTTTTTAATGTTTTGAAATGCTCAGCTGTAAATAGTTTCGAGGTGGATTGGTTTAATTAAAAAAAAAAAAAAAGTTGATTGAAACTTTCTGATCATTCATTCATGTGGTTGTGATTAAGAGTTCTGAATCAGCACAGTAACTAACTGCTGGATCATATTCATCCATGATGCCATGTTGGCAAAGCTTGGGTGAACTAATCAAACTGTGCATGCTCTGCCTTTCCAGTAGCTCATTACTGCCTCACTAAATCTTCCCCCCCTTTTGTGTTTCACCTTTCCCTCAGTTGCTCTCATTTCCTCTTTTGTCCCACACGCATGGTGCAAAGAAAGATTACTCACAACTGCAGCTCCTCCAGGAGGGATGAGAACTGTTGTTTTTCTGTCTGTGTGTGCTACAGATGTTTTTAATTGAATCACATCATCATGGCTTTTAGCCGCTTTAGTAATGTCTTCCATAAATCACAGCCAGTCTGTAAGGTAGTTAAAGATCAGAGTTGGATAAGATTTTTTTAATACGTTGTATACACAACTTCAAGTTCTTCAGATTTAAAAAATGCTACAGTGACTGTCACAGTTGTGAAATGTTTCACTTGTAGTCTATTTAATGCAACCGTTACAGAATCAGTGTGTTTCAGTTTATGTAACAGCTGCTATTTGCAGATTTATATACAGGGAAACATCGGTTGCTGTGAACCCTGATAACAGAAGCTGGAAATACATTTAAAACCCTTGTGCCCTGCATTCAGTCATGTTCTTCTTGTCATGTGTCATGGACAAACACAGCCAACGTGCAATTATCTTCATCTTTACGCTTCTGTGATCCAGAATGGCACTGTTCTGAATATTTAGATTCCATTTTCTGCAAATAATTTGGCTTCCATGAGGATTAAACAAACCTTCATTCTTTAAATTCCAGCGCACCGCCCTTCTCTACCTCTCCACAAAAGCCCCAAACATTATTAACCCCCTTTTATCAACCTCATTGTACATGGTGCCAGGAGGGGGCCGCTAGTTCTGGGGGTTTTTTTTTATGCATTTGTACATTATTTAACTCTGCCTGGATAGAGTTCTCTGTTCACAGTAAACATGAACATTTTAATTTAAGAAAAGGCCGGCCAACTGTATT